ATCTCAATGTATGTAAGAATATATGGAGCAATAGGGATCTCAGTGTACGTAAGAATATATGGAGCTATAGGGATCCCACATTAAATAAGAATATGTGAAGCTATAAGGATCTCAAAGTACATAAGAATATATGGAGCTACAAGGATCTCAACGCATGTAAGAATATATGTAGCTATTGGGATCTCAACGTACGTACACATCTATGGAGCTATAGGGATCTCAACCTACCTGAGAATATATGGAGCTATAGGGATCTCAACGTACGTAAGAATATATGGAGCTATAGGTATAGGAACACATTGAAGAATAAAAAGACCTTTCGAAATGATAGACATACAGAAGAAATCATGTAGCCTTTGATGTTTATGAGAGGTTCTAGAATAGACAGGAGACGGAAATGGAAGCATTAACTATTTAACCAAATGACCCAGTGTTCATGGTGAGGTAATTAACTGGTTAACGAACTGACCCAGTGTTCATGGTGGTGACACTGCCTGGTTAACGAACTGACCCAGTGTTCATGGTGGTGACACTACCTGGTTAACTAACTGACCTAGTGTTCATGGTGAGAACACTACCTGGTTAACTAACTGACCCAGTGTTCATGGTGGTGACACTACCTGGTTAACTAACTGACCCAGTGTTCATGGTGGTGACACTACCTGGTTAACTAACTGACCCAGTGTTCATGGTGGTGACACTACCTGGTTAACTAACTGACCTAGTGTTCATGGTGGTGACACTACCTGGTTAACTAACTGACCCAGTGTTCATGGTGGTGACACTACCTGGTTAACTAACTGACCTAGTGTTCATGGTGGTGACACTACCTGGTTAACTAACTGACCCAGTGTTCATGGTGAGGACACTACCTGGTTAACTAACTGACCCAGTGTTCATGGTGAGAACACTACCTGGTTAACTAACTGACCCAGTGTTCAAGGTGGTGACACTACCTGGTTAACTAACTGACTAAGTGTTCATGGTGAAGACACAACCTGGTTAACTAACTGACCCAGTGTTCATGGTGGGGACACTACCTGGTTAACAAACTGACCCAGTGTTCATGGCGAGGACACAACCTGGTTAACTAACTGACCCAGTGTTCATGGTGGGGACACTACCTGGTTAACAAACTGACCCAGTGTTCATGGCGAGGACACAACCTGGTTAACTAACTGACCCAGTGTTCATGGTAAGGACACTACCTGGTTAACTAACTGACTCAGTGTTCATGGTGAGGACACTACCTGGTTAACTAAATGACCCAGTGTTCATGATGAGGACACTACCTGGTTAACTAACTGACCCAGTGTTCATGGTGAGACTACCTGGTTAACTAACTGACCCAGTGTTCATGGTGAGGACACTACCTGGTTAATTAACTGATCCAGTTTTCATGGTGAAGACATTAACTGGTTAACTAACTGACCCAGTTTTCATGGTGAGGACATTAACTGGTTAACTAACTGACCCAGTGTTCATGGTGAGGACATTAACTGGTTAACTTACTGAACCAGTGTTCATAGTGAGGACACTACCTGGTTAACTAACTGACCCAGTGTTCATGGTGAGGACACTACCTGGTTAACTAACTGATCCAGTGTTCATGGTGGGGACACTACCTTGTTAACTAACTGACCCAGTGTTCATGGTGAGGACACAACCTGGTTAATTAACTGACCCAGTTTTCATGGTGAGGACATTAACTAGTTAACTAACTGACCCAGTGTTCATGGTGAGGACATTAACTGGTTAACTAACTGAACCAGTGTTCATAGTGAGGACACTACCTGGTTAACTAACTGACACAGTGTTCATGGTGAGGACACTAACTGGTTGACTGGTAAATAGACAAGCTCCGTTAAAAATGCCCACACATTTTGACTTTCCAGGCGGCTTCCTTGCCCATGCACTGACGTTCTCATCGCTTCAGACGCAGGCCTTGCTGTTTGTGGAGATCTTGCAGATGTTCAATACAAGCTTCACTATAGGCTCCCTGGTGTTTTCTTTTACATCTATTGCAATCAGTTTGTCATGTAAGTTCTATATTGCGATTATAAAATGTTATATCTATAGTGTCACATACCGCTCGTGTCGCGTGCCTGATATAAGAATTTCTCCTTAAGAACCAACAGCACTCTGAAATAATAATGTTGAGGCTTTGGCTCGTATTGGTCTAATGGAGATCCCGTGGACAATATACGCCCAACTTATTTCAGGAGTAGGGCAACTCAAGTTCTGGCACTGCAGAATATTTAATATTCCTAGGCACACTTGGCTGGACACCCCCACTACTATAAAAAGCTAGCTCCCAGGTTATAATAGTATACTATCATAGCCATGTTAGCACAGATTACACTTATTAATCACACAAACATAAAACTAGACAGTTAGAATGGTGAAACAAGGACACCCAAGTCAGCCATGAACATTTCGGAAAATGCATGTAATATTTTCAATATTTACATATATATAAATATCAGGACAATCAAGATAGTTTCCAGTGAAAGGAGTTCATGACTTAACGTCACAGCAATGATGTTGAAACCGCCAGAGTCGTTCCAAAACAAGTATATAATTCATCATGGTGAACTAAAGGTGAGCATGGATAGAGAGCATGTAGGTCATCTTAGATGTACTTAACCCAAACTGGTAGGTCTCTGCTCCCCTCAGTCCATGTTGACTTGAACCGGCTGACTCAATAGATTGCTTTTCTCTCTGGTTGATCTGGCACCCACTGATGGTCTTACATATGAATATAAAGGAACTGCATTGGAGCACAACACGGCTACTGATAAAGACTTCCTAGTATTGATGACACAGGTGGCCTGCAATACTGTCTTTCAGCTACTGGAACTCACACACAAGCTCCTGAAGAAGGATTCCTTGGATTGATGACACAAGTGGCCTGCATGACTGTCACTCAGCCACTGGAACTCACACACAAGCTCCTGCCATGTTGATGTTCTGCCAACAATAGGTAGGGGTTTGGGTAGGATTTTGGTGATAGGAATGGTATGGGTTGGTGATTGCTGGTTATGGACTGTGATTCGTCTGCCTGACTTCTAAGGAGATTTCATCCCAAGCTTAGGAATCCTTCAAGGATTAAACTGGTACTTTGAAAGCGTCAAAGTTGAGGAGCTGTTCACTCCTTTACATATAGCAGCCTTTCTCTCCTTAAGACGCAAGCATGTTGCAATAATAAGAAAAAAACACAGCGGAAGATTTCACAGCAGGAGCTCTACCAACCGTCAGTAGGTGAGTCCCTCGTCGACAATTGTTTCGGCCCGTTATCCTCCCAGACAATCTCAGAGGGCGGGCCGATCTGGGACATGACTCCCAGACTTCTCCTGCTGCGCTTTATTTAACATTCGAACAGACTTAATGCAAACATGGTTTGCAACAGGCATTGAGGTTTGGGGATATATTTATATAATCATTGTCGCTACAGTAGCAAATTAGGAACTCACCTTCACTACCGAGAGTCGAATAATAAGAAGAAACTCCACAGGGGAGCATGTACAGCAGGAGTCTACCAATCATCAGTAGAAGTAACCTCTGGTCGACAAATGTTTCGGCTCCTAGACATTTTCAGAGAGTGGGCCCACCTGAGTTCCTTAGGCTCAGGGTTGGTTTCGCCTGCTGCACGTATTACCGGATGTTATTCAGACAGGGACAAGACGAATTGGCGACTTCACAAAAGGTACTGTGAGATATGAAGTCGTTGCGGTAGCATAATTAAAGCAGTCTGCATACCTAGATGACCGAGTGGCAAGCTTGCGTTTGGTTTACCGGACACATGTTAGACTTTAGAGTCGAAAGTATACGCTTGGCTCATCAGATAGACGTTATCAGACATACTTTGCAGTTTGCAATAGCAGGGCAGACGATCGGTCAACTTTTGCTTAAGGGGTTTACAAGTTTTTTTTTTTCTGTAGGCACTCGGATCAGTCTACCTAGGTTTGTTCCCCACGCCGTTCCGTTGAGCCCACATCCAGCTTGAAGCTCTTTCTGCGGCATCGTTCAGTTGTTTTATAGCCCGCTTCCGCTTGATTGCTCGCAAGCCCAATAGCTTTAGTACATTGTATGCGGATGTGGAGATTATCCTTCTAGCACTCTTATATACTACTCTATAAATAGTAGTCAGCCCTTCTTGAAAGTTGTATGTTGTCCTTACAAAAAGTTCTATCAATAGCAGCAACTGTCTCCTGTTAAAATTGTAAGTTGTCAGTGTTCTATCTACAGTCCTAAGTTTGTCCTGTAAGTTGTGTGTTGTAATTATAAACGGTTTTATTAGTAGTTGCTATTGTCTTATCTGCACCATGTATTCTACTATCATTTCGTTTTCTTCTGAGTTCGACTTTTGAAAAGCCGGGCTGCGATATTCAGGCATTTCGGTAAACATCACAAAGACGATTGAACATATATTTACATGAGATAAACATCACAAAGTAGTTTGACATGCGCAGTTTCAAAAGATAAACATCACAAAGCAGTTTGACATGCGCAGTTTCAAGAGATAAACATCACAAAGCAGTTTGACATGCGCAGTTTCAAAAGATAAACATCACAAAGCAGTTTGACATGCACAGTTTCAAAAGATAGACATCACAAAGTAGTTTGACATGCGCAGTTTCAAAAGATAAACATCACAAAGCAGTTTGACATGCGCAGTTTCAATAGATGAACATCACAAAGTAGTTTGACATGCGCAGTTTCAAAACATAAATATCACAAAGTAGTTTGACATGCTCAGTTTCAAAAGATAAACATCACAAAGCAGTTTGACATGCGCAGTTTCAAAAGATAAGCATCACAATGTAGTTTGACCAGACAACTTTTATGAGATACCACTAACAGTTGTTACCATGAAAGATGAAATACCCCCACCATGTGTCGGAGGGGCCATTAGTGTGACTAGGATCTATGACTAATTGTTGAACTGGAAATGAATGTTGTAGAATACACAAAATTTGTTTTATCTATGTCTGTGTCAGCGGTCCTGGTGACACATTACGTCATGCCCAAGCTGACAGAACGTGGATGTCTTATTGTTGGCGGCATAGCCGTTTCTTTGCTGACCATGGGTGCAGCTTTTGCTCCCAACATTGGAGTTTTCATTGTCATTTTATCTGTCAAAGGTGAGTGCTGTGTTGTAAAACTGTTACTTGCGTAACGCTTTACCTGTAAAAGTAACAGATTAAAAACAGCATATTCATCGCGGACCTGCACTTCGAGTGATAGACTTGGACATTATTAAAATGTCACATGCGTAAAATTAGTGCCAGTGAGATAGGATGCTAGAGGAAAGCTGCCAACACAATCAACTGAGACCAAGTGGGAAATGATGCCGTCAGACAGATTGTTGGAGTATCTTGCACCAGATTCAGTGAAAAACAGACGATCGAATGGTTTGGTCATCTTGTTAGAATGCAGCCATAACAGTTAAACAGCTCAAGCGCCAGACCTGAAATATCTGATGTGAAAATTATTATTACATATTAGTTAGCTGTGTATCCTTACAGGACGTTGCAGAGCCAATACTAGTATTTTTTGGCTGTTGTGGTTTTTCTAGACACATTTAAGGTTCAGTAGTTTGCCATTTCTTCTGAAAGGGTCAGCTATCGGTACCAATGCAAGACAACTCGTTCTCATTTGGGATCCACCTCGGCACACCGACACTACGAAGCGTGTTCGCATTGCTTTAGCAACAGACTCCGACTGTAAAAGGTGCTAAAGTTAAAACACCTTCTAATGAGGACTATACCGTTTGACTGATTTATCATCCATACCTGGTCCTATCATTCGTCGATCATTTCCACTTATACGGGTTCCTACTTTCCTTTTTATTATTTCTCCACTAACTAGTCATTTCATTCCACACATATCAATTTCATCCTAATAGGATGCATTTTGCTTCCCCAGTATTTGTATGCCATTCTGTGTCCACTAAACGGTCGTATTCGTGATGTACCGTTGGATATGTATGACTAACAGACTGACATTCAACCCGACCAAGGCCACACAACGAGCAACCTACACCAGGTGACACATAGTTCCACCCCTGGAATGAGGATCACCCGGGCATAAGTCCCAGAAACACCATTCAATCCGTAGGTTATATTTAGGGCCCCCGACAATAGCTGGGTGAGGCTTAAAAAAGTGCATCCGGTATTAGGACTGCCTTGCTAAAAAAAAAAAAAAAAAACATTAATGCACCTGGATTGAGACGTTTGCAGGATCTGCCCGGTAAAACCTAAGTGTCTTCTTGTGTGTTTGTATTGTTTCAGGGGATGCGTTTTCACAGTCGATAGGAGACTCGCTTTCAAATCCAGCTGCGACTCGCTGCAGCCCACGGCTGGTGTTCGAAGCCGGGCGGTTCCCGGGGTTCATCCAGCCTCTAGGAAATGGGTACCAGAGTCGACACTCTGGGGTGAATGGAGGAACGTTGCTGTATCTACGGAGTTTCGCACGGACGGCGACACAGGCGGGCAGTATCTTATCAGCTGTATGTACTGGTGGCAGAGCACTTATGGTTTATAACTGTGTGCAATGACGCTGGTTCACATCTTCCGACTTTACCTTTGTATTGTTTCAAAACAACTTCGCTGTTTTATTTTAACGTGTTGTATTTGAACTTCCGTAGCCAGATGCTTTATTATTTTTGTCAACTCTAGGAATTGTGAATGGTCTGAATTATGTACCGGCTATGGCGTTGATACCAAGGTACTTTAAACGCTATCGGTCGCGGGCCAGTGTTATCCCTTTCTGTGGCGGAAGTGCAGCCAACATTATCGCTCCATTTGTCATCAGAGCTGTCAGAGAAGAATACGGGATTAGGGGATGCTACATTCTCCTCTCTGCGGTCGAGCTTCATTACTGCGTGGCCGGTCTGTTACTGCGTCCAGTCAGTGCATACAGGTGAGTGTCTGGCCTTTTGGCTTTATGGAACGTTGTTAAGTTAGTGGCTGTTGTTATTTGACTAAAGAATACGTCAGAAAACGGATCACTCACTAAATGAGTTGTTAGAGAAGAGTCAATTACAAAACTAGAAATGATGTGAGAAACGAAGAAATTAGAGCGACACCTATAATTTAATTAGTTTGAAACAAGAACTGAAATGGTTTCGGTTATTTCATGAGAATGAACCGAATCATGCAAGTCATCATCATTATGTAGCAGGTCCTTTGCAGAACGTCGCTCTAATTACAGTCTGCCTGAAAGAAACTCAGTCTCTCGCCAGTTCTCCTGCCTCATGTACTTTCACACTCGAAGAGTCACTTATATCCTGTGCCCATCTTGGTGTCGGTCGGCCCCTGCCCCTCCTTCTTGGTACCATGCCTTCTGCTATAATTTTTTCTAATCCGTCGTGGCGCTTGATATGACCAAAATATTTCAGCTTTCGTAAAAGGATGCTGTTTATTAGCCAATCTTCCTCGATGTTCAGATCTTTTAAGATGTCAATATAATCATGCAAGTACAACATGAAATAATAACACCAAGACGTAGAGAACAACCAAGAAGAAGATGGATTGAAAGAGTCGCTCCTTCTTGAGATTCCACAATATCACAGCATATCGGGTAACCGAGAGTGCCTTGGATCGGATGTCGATCATCTGTTAATTTGCAACGCCAAGCGGTACAAAGCAGAATAGAAAGACAGGAAGATACTTGTACAGCTCTGGTTGGTTGTACAGTGATGGTGACGTTTTATCCCTGTAATTAAATAGGGCAGTAATTCCAACAGGGCCGGCAACTGTCAACCTTTGAATCACAAGTTATGAGTTGGATTATCTTCACAACACTCCAGGCACATCCATATGTGCTCAGATTCCCCTCTCAGCATATTCATCGGCGTCACAGGAAGTCCTAAGCTGGTTGACAAGACTTTGTTTTCGTCCGATGTGCTTCTTATGCCTGGCTGTGCTGGTCTTTACTCCCAATTTTCGTATTCTTAGCAGTGATGTGAACACGTTGCTTCCAAAATCCTCAGAACGTCCTATCTCTCTTAGGGCATTGACAATGTCTGCTTGATCCATAGGCCGGCCATTTTGGATTATTGCTGCACCTGCCAGACTATCAGCTCTTTCATTACCAACAACACCTGATTGACCTACGACAAATATTAAGGTAACTCGACACACAAGAGAAATCTGCAATGACTCAGTCCACTGTCTGCTTAACCTTTGAGTGTGAGAGATCGTGCCTTACTGGATTCCATAATCGCCTCGAGTGTGAAGTTTCATATTTCGTGAACATCACCATACGTCTTCACTGTACAGAAACACAATGGAGCTTGTATCCTTTAGCGAATTTTAAACTCTGTTTCGAGATTCCCCCCTGGATCTTCTGCTTGACTTGGTGAGTAGGAACTAACGGTGGCACACCAGTTTCTCCCTGTGATTCATAACTCCTGAGACTCTCTACTGAGAGGAGATGTGATTTCAAACTCTCACTATTTCGATTTTTTATTCAACATGTATTATTGAAAGCAATATGATTTTAATATCACTGTGACAATTATTCTATGTGGTGCAGCAAAATATTGTGTTGTGCCTTTATGTATCATACCGTGATGGAAATATTGTTTTGTTGAAATTAAGAGTTTAACAAGGATTTGCATACAGAAACAACAGGTATGACGTTCAATTAAGTTTTTTTTTCTACGCTGAACTGTATCACCGACACCCGGTACGTAATGGCTATTACCCAAACGATAAAACGGAAGAATGGAGCAACCCGAGACAACAAGGCACATTCCACAGTGGGATCAGACATCTGACATTCGGTCGCATTATGTTTCAGCCAGCCAGCAAACAAAACAATAACACAAGTTCAAAGCCCTTCTAACTTCTCCATGCAGCCGAATGCGCTGAGCCTGTTACCTTTTTCTGACCCAGACGGGTGTGACTAGGAAATTATATATAGTATATATATATATATATATATATATATATATACTATATATATATATATATATATATATATCCCCCAAGAATAGATGTGCCTAAATTCGGAACTTAGTATATGATAGATACTGGTTGTAAGTTGACTAATTGTTTAACAACACAATTAGTGATGAACAGTCGAGTGTTTAAAAGAATGTTTATTCAACAATATCCTGTAGGCTTAGAGGAAAGTCATTTAAAGACGCAATCAAACCTCCTAGACACCTTGGCCAGAGTGTGATGCCTGCAACAGATCGGATGCAAGATATGGCAGCTCAAACTGGTCCTTTATCGTTTTTGTTCCTTAGTGGTGTATGTAGGGCCATTTTCTTCGTCTAGATCTATCTCCTGGGAGACCTATGTAGAATACCACAATTTTTTTTTTGTCGGTTAGCCAGTAGCTTGATGTGGTATTACTGTTCAAGTGTGACACTGTCCTTCAGATTCCGCCCTGAAGACCCCAAGACGGTTGGAAACGATACGACAGCTCTCCAGAGCCAGGTTCCAGCAAACAGCCAGGATTTGCTCCTAAATGATGCAGCAAAGGAGAATCATGATAAACTGCTGCAGGTCAAGAGTAAGGAGCTGGATAGAGATGTTGGAGCCACAGAGGCACTTCTAAACCACGTCCATGAGGCTCTACACCAGAAAACTGTTATCAACACTGACGAGATGGCAGATGGCACACTTACAGCAGACAGCAGGTAACTGTTTTTTGTTGTTGTTGTTGTTGTTAAACTACTTTTGTACTGAACTCAGAAACATATAACAGTAATGTTAACCTGATGTTAATTTACACCCTATTCATACTAGTTGCACTAAAATAATCTTCAAAGAATTATACCGCCTCTATCTATTATGAATCATCCTCGTTCAGTTAAAACAACACTGATCGATTTTTACCCTATAAGCATCATTACCATAGGAAATAGTGTAATCCTACAATAATTATTTTTTGTAATCAACATCCCTCAATGAAGCATCGGGCCTCAACCAACTCCAACTAGTTCGTCCTATTCTTTGCCATCGCCACTCACTAACCTAGTCGATATCCCCCCACTCCTCCCGACCCAGATCTCAGATCACAGATATTGCTGACTTTGTTCCGTATTCTTTTGGTTCTGAGATTGCCAGTTGGAGGAATCTTGAGTAATCAAGTTTTCTGAGTATATGTTCTATCCTGCGCCACCAGTTTCACCTCACCTCTTGATTCGACTGAATCGGTCTAGTTCTCTGATCAAGCTCAACGTTACTGATTTTGTCTGTGCATTTGATTCTAACAGCTGTCCTGTAACACTTGTGACAATACTGTCCTGTAACACTTGTGACAACTGTCCTGTAACGCTTCTAACAATACTGTCCTGTAACACTTCTAACAAAACTGTCCTGTAAGGCTTCTAACAACTGTCATGTAACACTTTTAGCAATACTGTCATGTAACACTTATAACAACTGTCATGTAACACTTCTAGCAATACTGTCCTGTAACACTTCTTACAACTGTCATGTAACACTTCTAGCAATACTGTCCTGTAACACTTTTAACAACTGTCATGTAACACTTCTAGCAATACTGTCCTGTAACACTTCTAACAATACTGTCCTGTAACACTTCTAACAATACTGTCCTGTAACACTTCTAACAATACTGTCCTGTAACACTTCTAACAATACTGTCCTGTAAGACTTCTAGCAATACTGTCCTGTAACAGATGTGATAACTGTCCTGTAACACTTGTGACAATTGTCATGTAACACTTCTAGCAATACTGTCCTGTAACACTTGTAACAACTGTCATGTAACACTTCTAACAATACTGTCCTGTAACACTTGTAACAACTGTCATGAAACAATTCTAACAATACTGTCCTGTAACACATGTGACAACTGTCATGTTACACTTCTAATAATACTGTCCTGTAACACTTCTAACAATACTGTCCAGTAACAATTCTAACAATACTGTCCTATAACACATGTGATAACTGTCCTGTAACACTTCTAACAATACTGTCCTGTAACACTTGTGACAACTGTCTTGTAACACTTCTAGCAATACTGTCCTGTAACACTTGTGACAACTGTCATGTTACACTTCTAACAATACTGTCCTGTAACACATGTGACAACTGTCATGTTACACTTCTAACAATACTGTCTTGTAACACTTCTAACAATACTGTCCTGTAACACTTCTAACAATACTGTCCTGTAACACTTGTGACAACTGGCATGTAACACTTCTAGCAATACTGTCATGTAACACTTGTGACAACTGTCCTGTAACGCTTCTAACAATACTGTTCTGTAACACTTGTGACAACTGTCATGTAACACTTCTAGCAATACTGTCCTGTAACACTTGTGACAACTGTCATGTAATACTTTTAACAATACTGTCCTGTAACACTTGTGACAACTGTCATGTAACACTTCTAACAATACTGTCCTGTAACACTTGTGACAACTGTCATGTAACACTTCTAACAATACTGTCCTGTAACACTTGTAACAACTGTCATGTAACACTTCTAACAATACTGTCCTGTAATACTTCTAACAATACTGTCCTGTAACACTTGTAACAACTGTCATGTAACACTTCTAACAATACTGTCCTGTAACATTTGTGACAACTGTCCTGTACCACTTTTAACAACTGTCCTGTACCACTTTTAACAGCTGTCCTGTACCACTTATAACAACTGTCCTGTACCACTTTTAACAACTGGCTTGTACCACTTTTAGCAACTGTCCTGTACCACTTTTAACAACTGTCCTGTACCACTTGTAACAACTGTCCTGTACCACTTTTAACAACTATCCTGTACCACTTCTAGCAACACTTTCCTGTACCACTTTTAACAACTGTCCAGTACCACTTCTAACAATACTGTCCTGTACCACTTCTAACAAAACTGTCCTGTACCACTACTGACCCTTTGATTCGTCTGGCTGAGCTAATGCTTACTCTAAACTCATTCGAGTTTAATGGCGAGTATTTTAACCAGATTAGAGGTGTCGCTATGGGGACCAAGATGGGACCCAGCTATGCCTGCCTCTTCATGGGGCACCTCGGGCACCAGATACGTCATGCATATATCTGTAGGCTCCCCGAGCTTTACAGGAGGTATTTCGATGATTGCATCGATGTAACCGATATGCCCCTACAGGAGCTGCAGAACTTTATTCATTTTTTCTCTAACTTTCATCCTAGCATCCGATGCACTTCTAGCATCTCACCTGCGTTTCCTGGATCTCACTGTCACCGTGAACTCTATTGGCCTTAGTACCTCGGTGTACTACAGGCCTACTGATTCCTACGCTTTTCTTCTCTACAAGTCCTCCAATCCCTCTTCTTGCAAGGAATTTATTCCGTTCTCCCAACTTCTACGCCTTCGCAGACTATGCCAGGAGAACGACGACTTTCACAACATAGCCCTGGAAATGTTGGACTTCTTTCGGCTTCGAGGGTATCCTGAACTTGTCCGATCTGCCGCCGTTCACCGCGCACGGTCTTTCCATCGTGCCGAAGCTCTCGCTCCCAAGCCGAAACGTCACAACAACATACCTATTCTTACACTTACCTATCACCCTCATAACATCCGCGACAAGAATATTTTCCTTAGGCATCTATCCATCCTTAAAGCCGACCCTGCCACCAGCACGATTTTCTCTGAACCTCCTCTAGTGGCCTACAGGCATGATCGTAACCTCAATGACATTCTAGTCAAGAGTAGGTTACGCCCCGCGTCTGAGACCCACTTTGGCACGGTCTTTTGCCATAGACCTGTATGCAGAACCTGTCCGTGTGTGGTACAGGTGCAGAGTCTAGAATTCCCTAACACCACCTTCCACATACGTGAAGCATTCTGTTGTACTAGCCGCAATGTCATTTATGCCATCAACTGCAAGAGATGTGGCATGAAATACATTAGTGAAACTGGTCTACGGCTGGCTGACAGGTTCAGACAACATCTTTTGGACGTGCAGAACGGTGCCCTGAAACCAGTACCGTTGCACTTCAATTCCCAGGATCACCAAGACCAAGTTGTCCACGACATGGAGGTGACAGCCATTAAATATAGCCATTCCAGCGACAGAGTCCGCAAGTCTCTTGAGAATCGCTTTATTTATATTCTGGGGACTTTGACGCCCTCCGGAATGAATTGCCAACACAGTTTCATTTAAACTTCCAGGGGATTGAATTGCCCTCAGTTTTAACTTCTACGCCCCAGTTATGGCCCCTGATATCCCACACGTGCGGTCCTTACGTCACCCCTAGGACGTATTTTTTTGTTTTTAAAGCCACACTCTGGCTTTTGCCAGGGGCCGCAATATAGGCCATAAATATGGCCAATTGTCTGAACGCGGTTTCTGGGACCTCTCCACCGTGATCCTCATCCACATGGTGGCACTTTGTGTCATCGGGTGTTTATCGCTTGTGTGATGTCCCAGTGGGGTAGAAAGTCAGTCAGTCAGTCACGTGCGGTCAGTCTGCTGAGTTACAACCGACCTGGCCGCATCGTGATACCAGCTAAGTGATTTTTTGCATTTATGTAGTATTGTTTATTTTGTGTGTGCTGATGAAGGCTCAATAGCCGCACGTTCACCTTTCGTTTGTATTTGTTATATTGTGAAGCTTGCTAATATACTTTTCGTTCTGGTTTATATCTTATATACTTATAATAACTGTCATGTACCACTTCTAAAAACTCAGCCTTGTACCACTTATGACAACTGGCATGTACCACGTCTAACAACACTTTGCTGTACCACGTCTGACAACACTGTGCTGTACCACGTCTGACAACACTGTGCTGTACTACTTCTAACAATACTGTGCTATACCACGGCTAACAACACTGTGCTGTACCACATCTAACAACACTGTGCTGTACTACTTCTGACAACACTGTGCTGTACCACTTCTAACAACACTGTGCTGTACCACGTCTAACAACACTGTGCTGTACCACATCTAACAACACTGTGCTGTACCACGTCTCTCTCTCTCTCCATTTCTCTCTCTCTCTCTCTCTCTTTCTCTCTCTCTCTCTCTCTCTTCCTCCATCTCTCAGTCTCTTTCTCTCCTAACATTGTTCCTGTTCATGTACAACATCCAACAATCTCCCGTTTCATGTACTTTGATGTTCAAGAAGTCATTTATATCCTGTGCCCATCTTCGGGCTGGTCCGCCTCTGCCCCTCCTTCCTGGCACCACGCCTTCTGCTATTATTTTGTTTCCAGTGCGCCATGGCGTTTGATGTAGCCAAAATATTTCAGCTTTCACAACAAGATGCTGTTAATTATCAATCTTCATTGATGTTAAAATCTTTTAAAAGTAAAGTAAGTAAAGATCCCCAGTCACGCCTTTAGGCGCATCGGGCTTATGGAACGAGCACCCATATTTTTTAACAGACCAACCGGCACTTTTTGGATAATGTGGTCAGCAATAGGCAGGCCGTCTCTACTTCCCCAGAACATACATCTTGGTACCCATTTTAGGCTGGGTCGACCTGCGACGCCCTATTGCATGATAAAAATCCATGCAGCCAGCAGTGGGTTTCGATAACGGTACGATGGAATTACGAGTCGGACTCGCAACGGACAACGCAATTTTTTCTTTTTTAAATGTCATTAGTTTGTAGTTTGTCTCTTCTCTGTCCGTTGTATTTTGAGAATCTTTCTATAGCATTTCAGCTTCAAAGTCCAATCTTTTCTTGTGATAGGTGATAGTACAGATTGACATCTGTGTGTTGCTATCATCATCATCAGGTGCCTTGCCGACTGGCGTGGGCGATCATGCCTCTCCATAATCTACGATCTCCTGCAGCATGTATCAGTTCGTGTGCCGACACACGTCCATGCCATGCAACAAGACTGTCAAGCATCTTCTCTCGTTGTCTTCCTCTATCTCTCCTTCCACATATCTTTCCAGTGGTCACAACATGTTCTATTTTCCCTCTTCTCATAACATGGCCGAAAAATGATGACTGTCTCCTTCTGATGTCTGTGATAGGTTGTTTTCTGGCTCCCGCCTCTTTCAAAACCTCTTGGTTGCTCTTTTTGGCTGTTGCTAAAGTGAGGATAAATGCTCTCAACATTTTAATGTTGATTTCTTTGCTAGTGCCTAACCACAATCTTTTATTGCTGTTTGATCTTTGCATTGCCATCCCCTTTAGATTTCTGTCGAATATTTTCCATTGCTATTTTTTTTAGGGCCTAGATATTAAACGTTTGTGGTAGTTTCAGTTTCTTAATCATTTATTGTTATTTTTTTTGGCTACACCCAGTTTTATCTATGGACATTATTTTTGTTATCTTTCAATTCAAGAACACATTTTGATCTTCACTGTTTTTGGACAGACATGATTACATTTTCCCTGACTTTGTCATCTGCGTAGCAAAGTTCCAGAATAGGGTTGCCACTATTTATGAGCGGTTCATAAATCTTTAAAGTCTGTTAATTTTAGACATTTACAGTTATGTTTTCTGCATATATATTGAATATATATGGTAAGAAAATGCACCCCTACCTTTCTTCCTTTTACACCTCGAACCAGTCCGATGTTTCACCAGCTGCTCTGATGGCTGCTTGTTGTTCATGATATAAATATTCAACTAAATGCACCAAAAGCGCTAGAAACTCCATACTTCTCATCATATTCCACAATTTCTAATGCTGGACACAACTAAGTGCCTTGCTATAATCAATGAAACAAGCATGAAGACCTACGTTGTTTCTCTATATCTGTCAAAAAATTGTTCTCGTATTAAAGGTGTGATCTCTAGTTCCTGTACCCTGTCTGAAAACTGCTTGTGCTTCATGTAGCTCATATTGTAATTGCCTTTCAATCCTCTTCGTGATAATTCGTAAGAGGATTTTGCTAGCCTGACTTAATAATGGTGCGGTAGCTAGAGCATTTCTTTTTTAGATTTTCTTTCTTTGGGAGAGTAATATAGACTGGTCTTTTCCACCATTTAGGCCTACTGGCGCTGTTCCACATCTTCGTGTACCGCTCATGGTAGATTCGGACCCTGTCCGCTCCTCCTACCTAAGATAAGAAGAAACTCCACAGGGAGGCATGTACAGTAGGAGTCTACCAATCAGCAGTAGAAGTGATCCCTCGTCCACAATTGTTTCGCTCCACGAGCTCCTAAAACATTTCAGAGGGTGGGCTCACCTGAGTTCATGAAGCTCAGGCTTGATCTGCTCCTGCTGCACGTATTACCTAAATTAATTATGCTGGTATTTCGTGGCAACCTGGTGACTTTCCTTTCTTCAGACTGCATTGCTGATCGTACCTCAGCCAGTAAAGGCACTGGTTCTTTATCGGCACTTTCATATGTTGTTTCTGAATTACTTTTCAGATCCTCATACATTTCTCCACAGTATTCTTTCTGTCAGATCCTCATACATTTCTCCACAGTATTCGTTTCACCTTTCTAAAACCTCTTTGGTTTCTGTTAATATTTACCGTTTTTTATCATTTATTACAAGAAATAGTGGCTGAATTCGCCTTTTAACATTTTAATTTCTCTAAACATGTCTCTGATATCTCTGTTTATTTGAAGTTGAAAAAAAAAAAAGTACGTTCATTCGCTCGTTCGTCCTCTCTCCTCTCTCTGTATGTGAGATTGTGTGTGTGTGTATGTGGGCTCGTATGAGTGCGTTTGCCTGTGTGTCTGTTTTCTCTAAATGGGATGTGAAATGATTACACGTGCACACAAACACACAATGTTAATAATGACATGCTCAACTTTACCTGCAGCAAAGACTCAAATCCGGACGGCCAAACTCAATCAAACAAAGAGCACAGGAAAGAAGATGTCGCTGACAAACCTGCAGTCAAGAGCCAGACAAGATGGCACAAGTTTTGTCAAGCCTCGGGCCTTGAGTAATGATAACTTTGTGTTCCTTCATTTAAAGTATGTGACTGAATGTCCATTTTAGATGATTTGTACACAGCAGAGAGAGGTTTGTCTAATCAAGTATCTGCCACTGGTGGCTATCCAAAAATACAGAGAATCCCATGAGGTATTTTGAGGGGAACATAGAATCACACAATAATGAACTGAGAGATTAGTTATTTTGTTGTCACACTTTTCTTATGTCTGTTGTGAAAGTTGTAGAAAGCTAAATATATCCTTTTCCCATTTTCGATATGGGGTGGTGTCAACTGCGAGAATAGAATTACCATTGTTAGTAGTTCTTAAATATTGTGTGGGGTTTTCCACAGTTAAGACAATTCGTGGACACACATGAGATTTCTTCGAAAGCTGTCCTTTACTTCACATGAGATAACTGCAAGAGCTATCCTTTGTTACAAATGAGATATCTGCGAGAGCTATCATTTGTTACGCATGAGATATCTGCGAGAGCTATCCTCTGTTACACATGAGATACCAGCGAAAAATGTCCTTTGTTATACATGCGATATCTGCGTGAACTGTCCTTTCACACATTAGATATTAGCGAGAACTGTTACACATGAGATATTAGCGAGAACTGTCCTTTGTTACACATGAGATATTAGCGAGAACTGTCCTTTGTTACACATGAGATATTAGTGAGAACTGTCGGTTGTCACACAAAGATATCTGTGTGAACTGTACTTTGTTATACGTGAGATATTCGCGAGAAATTTCTTTTGTTACACATGAGATATTAGCGAGAACTGTCCTTTGTTACACCTGAAATATTAGCGAGAACTGTCCTTTGTTACAAATAAGATAGCTGCGTGAACTGTACTTTGTTATACGTGAGATATTAGCGAGAACTGTCTTTTGTTACACATAAGATATTAACGAGAACTGTCCTTTGTTACACGTGAGATATGAGCGAGAACTGTCCTTTGTTACACATGAGATACCTGCGTGAACTGTCCTTTGTTACACATGAGAAATTAGCCAGAACTGTCCTTTGTTACACATAAGATATCTGAGTAAACTGTCCTTTGTTACACATGAGATATCTGCGAGAACTGTCCTGTGTTACACATAAGATAACTGCAAGAGCTATCCTTTGTTACAAATGAGATATATGCCAGAACGGTCCTTTGCTAAACATGAGATATCTGCGAGAGCTATCCTTTGTTACACATGAGATATCTGCGTGAACTGTCCTTTGTTACATATGCGATATCTGCGTGTACTGTCCTTTGTTACACATAAGATATCAGCCTGAACTGTCCTTTGTTACACATGATATATCTGTGTGAACTGTCCTTTGTTACACGTAAGATATCTGCGTGAACTGTCCTTCGTTACACATGAGATATCAGCGTGAACTGTCCTTTGTTAAACATAAGATATCAGCGTGAACTGTCCTTCGTTACACATGAGATATCAGCGAGTTATGTTCTATGTTGCACATATCAGCGAGGGCTGTCCTGTATTAATTATGAGGTATCTGCGAGGGTTATCCTGCATTAAGATGGGATATCTGCTAGTGTTGTCCTGCATTAAGATGAGATATCTGCCAGAGTTGAACTTAAGTCAGGGAATACAACAGTCCAGTTACATATTAGTGGACAACAGCCATCTCATCCATGCTACAGCAACGATGTGGGAGCACAGGATGTTTCCGATCTTTTTATCGTATTTAAACTACAATTTTTAAGATTATATGACCTCAGCTTTTGACCTCCATTTCCATTTCCAGACTATGGGGTTTCCGCTGCATGCTTGTGTCCACGATCCCTGGAAGTGTCTCCTCGTATCTGCTGAACTACATGCCGACCATCTGCAAGTTCCAAGGTGCAAGTTTCGAGCAGGCGGCGTTCCTGACTACAATCATGGGTGGTGTGGAACTGGTTAGTCGGATCTCGACTGGGTTTTTTGCTGACACAAAAGTCTTGCCTCCATCAAGTTTATTTGTTATGATACAGTTGTGTCTAGGTAGGCATTTTTCCATCACACTACACAATGTTTTATGTTAGCTATATCGAATCGCACTTATGCACGTTTCTTTGACTTCTTCTGTTTGACTGAATTATGTTTGAAATTTTTTTTTTAAAAAGTCATTTGTTTTTGTGTTTTAATTTTATTCTTACAACCTTTCGTTGACTTGATAATTAGCTGTAGAGAAAAGCATAATTGTAACTGACTCAGAGAATGCTGAGAAAGGTAGAGACCAGTTACCTTCATGAAGAGTGGCAAGCATCGATTCAGGGATCCGGATGGGCGTCGTTTGGATCTTTTTCCCCAGGATATGCGGGTGTATTAGAAAATCAACCATCGAACGAACGAACGAACAAACGAATAAACTTTATTTTCAAAGGGTTAAGAATTGGGCACACAGGCCCGTCTTACATTCTGCCCTTCTGGCCTCACGCCATGCATACATTATTCATACTGTGATGACCCTGCTTTGCATGGTCTCCACGAGTACATTGTGGCAAGCAGGAAGTCCGTGCTACAATAGTTTAGTATTCATGTAATGACAGAGTTAGTAGTTCAAAAGTTTAAAAAGAAAAAAATTCTCTCCCCAGGAACAGCATACAAGAATTAAATCAAGATTTAGTGATAGATCATATAGCAATTTGTTGTCCACAGAATGACTTTGATAAAAATATTTAATTTAAAATGTTTAGCATAGGTGCACAGCACAGGGACATGGTAAATTTGTCCACCACACCCAAGATTATAAACTGCTAATGGTTATACTGATGCTGACTAGATGGACTGATGGTAAAGAAAGAGTGCACACATCAAAGCACAAGCATAGTAGAGGAGTTGTACTCATCTGTGTCCATCTAAAGGGGGAAAGGTGTCTGAGATTCCTTGGGGTTAAATACTCTTAAAGGTGTTATAGACTTGGAGGAAACTCTAAGATCTATGAAAAAATATGTCTCAACTATCATTGTTTTCATGTTGGATTCCTTGGAGTTGGGTAATTACTCTGTGAAAGGTGAGACCTTGGTCTATGAAAATATATCTCAACATGCATTTTTTTTTCTGTGGTAGATTCCTTGGGGTTGGGTAATTACCCTGTAAAAGGTGTTATAGAGCTTTTGGGAAACTAGAAGCACTATGTTAAATATATCTTACCACTATCATATCGGCTAAGAGTTCTTGGGGTTAAACACCCTGTGAAAGGTGAGATAGAAATATTGGTAAAATCCAATTTTCTATGTAATAAATATCTCAAAGCTGATCATCATCATCACTATCATTTCACTTTGAACCCGATAGAGTAGATATAGTGACTAGACAATACTACAGATGCAATAGGTGTAAAGATGGTTTAAATTCTTCACCAGCTCAGTACTAGAAAAAGCTGCAGTAAATGTTGAAGGCAGTTTTAAAGGGCAGTAATTGAGGATAATCAGGAACCATAATCCCTAGTGGTAATACAATTAAATTGATTTACTATATCTGGTTAAATGAAAATGACACTTGATGTTCCATAAAGTGTCATTTTGTTAAAAAGGGGGGAGAGTGTGATGACCCTGCTTTGCATGGTCTCCACGAGTACATTGTGGCAAGCAGGAAGTCCGTGCTACAAGTCACGGCACGAGATACTTGTGGCCGGTGGAGTAAGCGAGGCGAAGCCCGAGCTAGCCTCGTGGTCAGTCGATCATCAGAAGTCAGAGAAGACGGTTGTAGTATTTGAAGATGTCGTCTTTATGTTGCGCAAATGTTTAATGTTCGAATATGTCGCGAGTGATACAGTGTGAATAATGTTTGAACATGTGAAATAAATGGACCAGAATAAACTGACAGAATGTACCAAGAAGCTGAGCGGCGGCGTTTGTAAAGTGGTACATTCGAAGTCATACCGCTTCATTCCCAAGTAGACCAAGATTCATTTCCAGCAGACCACACATTGTTTTAACAGATCAATTCATTTCACATACATACATTAAAGTATAATGTTATTAGGCATCAACAACATCTTTGAAACAACATACTCTAAGTATTCCTACATTTTAAAACAATTATAATACTAAATATAAAATATCTTGGTGGAAATCAACAGTATTCTTAGGAAACTATTATCATCTAAGCGGGGATATAGTAGTGAGATACAATTCAAATGACTGACTTTCTACCCTACTAGGACATCACACAAGCGATAAACACCCGACGACACAAAGTGCCACCATGTGGATGAGGATCGCCGTGGAGAGGTCCCAGAAACCGCGTTCAATTCGCTATTTCATGGCCTGCCTATATTGCGGCCCCTGGCAAAAGCCAGGGTGGGGCTTCAAAAAACAAAAAATTTCAGAGAGCTGACTTACGATCTGAACTGTACCAGGTGTAGATGGATCACGAAATCCTACTTTAGATGAAAGTCAAACATAAAACAGGAAACATGCAATTATGAGACGGAAATATGAAAATGAATTCACGAAGATCATCAGAATACAAGTAAGAGAGCAAATCTAATACAAATGGTAGTTGCGAATACGAAGGGTGTAAAAGGGAACAAAAGAAGAACTTGATGAGGTGCTCATAATTACAAACCCAACCTTGGAACATAACAGAAATCAGTCACATAGGGATATGATACAATTGAGAAACAGAGAAAAAAAACACAGCAAGGTCACGGGGCATAGAGAGTAGCAAAACGAACTTCCGGTCAAAATAGACGCTAGGCAGCAGCACTGTTCGAAGCAGAGGCAAATTGTTTGCTTCTGCCGGACAGTGGCCGATGCATTTTTGCTCCATTTGTAGACTGGATATAGCTTTTATCGCCCAGCTTCTGAGTTGAATGCATGGCGTGACACTGTGAGCTGCGGATTACATTTGGAATGTTTTTTCGACTGTGACCATTGTGGTGGTGTCAATTGTAGATTCAGAAAAGGGCGCGATGTCTGTCGTGCAATGTTGGTGGTGCCCCACTTCGGATGGCTACCGTATGCTTTAATGCGTGTGTATGCTAGATATGCTGAGACAGCAGTCTGTCAATCTTTCCACAAGGGACTGTGATAAACATTCTGTGTGTTTTTCGTTGGCACAAGAGCGGAGCAAAGATGGGGTGACTTGTTTGCTATGAAGCTATGAAGCTGAAACTAAGACTACCAGACCAGACCAGACCAGAGTAGCAAAACAAAATACAGTTAGAAAACTGCTTCAAGAGATGAACGAACGAACAATCATGTGTGGACAATTGCAGGCAGTTTGACAAACAACACAACAATTGATAGCGCCTCTAGATGTCTAGCTTATATGTATATATAATCAATGACATCACTTACAAAGCAATTGTGAAATATTTTGTATGGACAATTTCTCTGTAATCTCGATTCTAAGCATCACCACTGTATATTTTTGTTTTATATACTTTCAGGTATCGGATGTCATTTCTTTAGATTTACCACATCGTTTGTAACTTTAATTCCAATGGTAGTTTATACAGCAATCTTTCTTGGTTCCCGAGCACCGCTACAATCACTAATGTGTCAAGAGGTGGTTGGACCTAAGAAGTTCCCTCAAGCCTACAGCTTGGCGATTGTGATACTGACTCTTTCGTCATCAATACTAAACCCTGCATTAGGTCAGTTATTTACACTATTTTTCTCCTACAAAGGTAATTTATTATACAGTTTATTTCGCCAGAATGAGAGATTCGTGCAGACGAGAAAGCCGCAATTCCTGCCACACTTGATATCAGTGATATCACCAGCCACTGAAACAACGCGATATACTACTCAAAGAAAATGTCCAGATGCCACTCATGTCCAGCCAAGAAGAAATCTCCTCCTTCAGATAAGAGTTTGGCCCTGCCACTTGGGAGCACAACCGTCACATAACCAGACTGGCAGTCTTGAGACAGATCGTCAAACTCCGAGACATCTCCCACATCTGCGCCTCTTCTATCCCCATGCTCGAAATGCCCAAAGACTTTCAAGCGTGTCACTAGACACTTAATTCAAAGCAGAAAACAGGACCTACAGCGAAAAGACAGCTGTATCCTGTAGATATCTATGGGCGTCAGGTCTTGACACTGAAAGCACAGAGCAAGAAAAGACCATGCACCTTTAACAGTGTGTACGTTTCCTGTGTGTTTATGTATGTGTTTCCTGAGCGCGCGATTATGTGCTGGTGCGTATTTGTATACACCAGGAGAAGAATTAGTAAAACAACATAGATATGACTGTGTAATTATTTGTTGTTGGTGCACTTCGTTGCCGTAGATGGAATTCAGTCGATCAGTTTCTCCATCATGCACGACTTGAATATATGTGACAACATAGTTCTATCTACACTGGACAAGAAACATCTGACTCTACAAGAGCATCATTTTGCCAGTTTTTCTTTATGGAGCGGAATGCTGGAGAAGGACCAAAAAGGATGCACACAAGCTGTCCACCTTCCACCACACATGTCTACGTAGAATTATCAAAATTTTCTGGCCAGATACAATCTCAAACACTAAACTACTTCAAGTCACAAACCAAGAAACTTTAGACAGTATGATAACCAATAGAAGATGGAAATGGCTTCGCCACGTTATGAGAATGGATCCTGATATACCTGCTAAAACAGCTCTCACATGGACACCAGAGGGAAAGAGAAAGCAGGTGCGCCAAAATACAACATGGAGACGAACGATGGAAAGTGACCTGAGTGCGGCATCTTTGACATGGAAAGCTGCACTGAAGATGGCACAGGACAGGAAAGCATAGAAAGTCCTCTATGAATCATCATGTGCCACCAGTCATAACGAGAACTGATGATGATGATGATGATGATGATGGCCAGAAACAGATAGACATCGTTCTCGTCAGTTCTCTGAACGACTAATGCAAAATTAGAAATTTGGTAGCTGAATGTTGACTGTCATTGTAAGCCTTCTCTCACTCACAAAGTATACATTCAGGGTTGTGAAAAACATGCTCGAAGCTGAGATATTTACGCTTTAGTGAAATAGTTCCAGGTAAACCGAGATCAGAGATCAGGCTAGCTGTATAGATATATATATATATAATGACTGTGTTCTCACTTGCAGGAGCCCTGGTTGAAGCTACGGGATCGTTTGTTCTTGTTACGCATATCCTCGGAACATGTTTTCTCATCGGTTCCGGCATGCTGGCCTGTCTGCCGCTGTTTGTACGTCTCGATGCGAAACATGGCAGAAATAAATAAATTTTAACTTTGCTTGTTCTTGAGCACTTTGTATTAATATGGTTATTTATGTAATTATCTTTTAAAGAAAGAGAGAGAGAAAGAGAGAGAGAGAGAGAGAGAGAGAGAGAGAGAGAGAGAGAGAGAAAGATAGAGAGAGGGAGTTATGTTAGCTAGCTGCTGGCATGTATTAGGGAATCGAGTACACTGTGCTGTGTATAAAGGAAAACTAGCTCGCGTCACTACGATGCCTTCTGTGCTCGTTTTACTGAACCACATACAAGACTTCTGCTGTACTCCTTGGCACTTACACCACGAATTTAAATGTAAATCTCTTAAGGACACTAACTAGCAGATGCTTGCCACTCTTCATGGAGTTTGCATATCGTCACTTTTGTCAACATGCTCTGCGCGTCAGTTACAAATACGACATTTGTGTTCAGCGTATTCTCAAGCCAGCAGAGAGCAGCAGTGACTGCCTCCATCTCCATTTTCAAACTAGACGTTGTGATGTTATAGGCCAGGCACTAAGTGACACCCATTCGCTTTTTTTATGAACCATACTGCACTTCGTTTGCAAACAGCATAAGGGGAATAACAAATTTAATATTGTCTGTCCTAAAGCACAGTGAAGATCAAAATCTGTTCTTGAACTGAAAAAAAAAAAAACGAAAATAATGTCCAAAATTAAACTGGCTGTCATCCAAAAATAACAATAAACCATGAAGAAATTGAAAATGTCACAAACTTTAAATTTCTAGGCTCTGTAACAAACAACAGTGGAGACTGTTCGACTGAAATGAAAAGGAGGATGGCCATAGCTATGTAAAGATTAAACAGCCTAAAATGTATATGGTTTTGCACCATTAAGAAGATCAAAATTAGAATTTTGAGAGCATGCATATGTCCTGTAGCATCATACAGATGTGAGTCGTGGACTATCTTCCAGTCCTTAAAAAAGAGAATAGGGGCTTTTGAGAAAGGCTATAAAAAGATTATCAGAAAATTCTGGCCATAAAAAAAGAAGAAATACTGACATTTTAAAAGATCTGAACATCAAGGAAGATATGCTAATAAACAGCATCCTGTCCCGGAAGCTGAAATATTTTGGTCATATCAAGCGCCACGACGGATTTGGATTTTTTTGTGTGCAGAAGGCATGGTTCGAGGAAGGAGGGAAAGGTGCCGACCAGCGCTAAGATGGGAACAGGATATAAGTGACTCCTTGAGTATGAAAGTGCATGAGGCAAGAGAACTGGCGAGAGACCGAGTTTCTTTCAGGCAGACTGTGATGAGAGCGATGTTCTGCAAAGGACCGGCTAAATGATGATGAGTATTAAATAAGTAAAATGTATGCAATATTATATTAAATCAGTCTAATGTTTTCATTATAATATTCAGTCAGTGTAATATATGCATTATTGTATTCAGTCATTGCAATATATGCATTATTACATTCAGTCAGTGTAATATATGCATTATTATATTCAGTCAGTGTAATATGTGCATTATTATATTCAGTCAGTGTATTTAAATGCATCAGTCAATTTAAACGAGAAAGAGAATTCATAAAAGCTATATAAATTCTATACTGATATACGAAAGTGAATCATGGACAGTTTTTAGATTCGTAAACAATTATTTAGAAGCTGCAGATATGTAATTTTATAAACGAATTATGAGAATACCCTGGACAGATAAAAGAGTAATAAAGATGTCATGAAAGAAACTAATTCTCGAAGAGAACTGATTGCCAACATCAGAAAGAGACAATCTACATTCTTCGGTCATGTGATGCGAAGGCGAAAACTAGAGTACAACTTGACATTAGAAAAGCTGGAGGGGAGGAGAGGCAAAGAAAACAGATTCTGGACAGTTTTACATCATGGCATAAAGGATCATGTGTGTCAGAGTTGAATGAAAGTACACGAGACAGAAGGTTGTAGATAGACATGACTACCAACACCACAACCGACATTTAAGGAATCTTGATTTTGCTGATATTTATTGTTTTGCTAAGTCAGAACATAAATTACCAGCAAATCAATCACAACAGTCAGACCATAAAACAATTATTGAAAGATAAATATATTGATTCATCAATAACAGATCAGGCAGACGTCACAAGGGAGACAGATAAAGTAACAGATAAACGTATCTATTTAGTAGCAGTTTTGATTTTCAAGGAACGAACATGATTTGATTGATTTGATTCAAGAACCGACGTCATAGCATAAACGCTCCGTCCCCATCTTCAGCAGCCATCGAAGAGTTCCTATACTAATGGTGCCATTAGCATTCTGATTAAACGTCCGTTTTGCCTTTCCTCTGAGCCTCGAGCATCAAAACAGGGGGGGGGGGGTGCAGAAAGAAATTATGAAACACCCTAGCAAGGCAACACCAGCCTTTTAAAGCCTGAAAGCGGAAAGGGGGTTGAGTGGGTTTGAGCGGACTTTTACTTATAATGTTTAGAAACCAAGTTTCCAATTTTTAATTATAATGTTATTTCAAACTAAAAATTGCCAGTGAAAGATGGAGAACCATGAAAAAATATGTTTGACACATATCACTCCTGTCACGTGCCGGATGTAAGGATTTCTCCTTCAGAACCAACAGCACTCAGAAATAATTATGTTGAGTCGTTTGGCTCGTATTGGTCTAAGGGATTCCCCGTGGCCAATATACGCTCAACTTATTTCTGGAGTAGGGCAACTCAAGTATTGGCACTACAAAATATATCAGTATATGAATACAATATTCCTAGGCACACTTGGCTGGACACCCCCACTACTTACTAAAGAAAGCCCCCAGGTTATGATAGTTCATTATCATAACCATGTTAACACATATAATGAAGATACATACACACACAACTGCTACACACTTAAAAAGGTGAAAAAGAGACACCTAAGTCAGCCATGAAAATGAATGCATGTAATCAAGATGACATATATATATATAATAGTGAAACAGATGCCAGATCTCCTAGGATAGATCTCAGGGTATCATGTCCAGATCACAAAGATACTACACAGACAGCAGGTCTTGGAGATGACACTATCTCATCCTTGGGAAACATAGGAGCAGTGAGGAATAAAGCACATAAGGCATCAACTTAGCTTCTCCTCTTTCCGTCGATGATGCTTCCCTCAGCTCCTGATGATTCGACTGTCTTTGACTCTGGTAATTCTGCTCAACTGGATCAGGTAGTGAAAGAGTACTTCACCATAGAGGACACAGCAACTGTACCGGTACTCAGCAAGTCTCTCCCACCAGTTAGGTCACAACAGGGTCTCTGAGCTACACCAAGCTCTTGCTCTGGTAGGCTGTTTGGGTTATATGCCCCCACATAGTGATGATGTCAGGAACCTTCACAGGTGTTAGCTGGTGGGTAGTTGGTTGATAGTTGGTTTATGGTTGGTTTATGGTTGGTGGGTGTTGGTTGGACTGTGAAACTTCTGCCAGCTCCTCACAAAGGATTCATCCTGCCAAGAAATAACTCAGAATTAGTCATCACCAAGAGGGTAACATCTTGACAGGAAAGACAGAACAAGCATCAGTCATCATCCCCCATCTGCCTACTCCACCTTGGTCTCCTGTTTCATTCCTCAGAATGCCTCTCCAGACCAGGATACACAAGTCTCCTATCATTCATCTGTCTGTTTAGTGCAAGAGAAGGAAAGTCAGATATACAGTGAAGATAGATAGAGTGTTCTAACACATATATCACTCTCTCTCCCCCCTCCCCTCTACACACAAGCACCAATATTTACTGTCAGTACCTTTATTCTTTACGACTCCCAAAGCCAGTCCTACCATTCATTGATCTGGGTCAACACACACACACTGGCCGACAAAGTATTGACCTAATTCTGTCCCCATTTTGTATGCACACACTTCTGTTGTTAGTTTAAATAGTACACACTGTATGGTTATTAGGTTTACCAGTATGGGTGGGTTATTTAGGGCATAGGCTATTTAGTCTGTACAGGGGAAGGTCTGCGTTCGAATCCGCTTCTCTAGCGATCAAGAACGGTCGAACTATGTGTGATCCCACAGCCGATACTGATCTCTCTACAGCAGTGACTACTTTAACAGACATCCTTTTAGGTACTCGTAAACTATAATTAACTTACCCAAGCATATGAAAAGTCCGAGACATTCCAGATTGCCTTATGAAAATGAAATTATACAGGCATCGATTGACACGTCTGGTCGCTAGGAAGCCGGCAAGAGAGAATGCCGCCAATTAGGCCTTTCAGGCGTTGGTAAAAAAGGAGTTTCTAGTATACATGGGCAAGGAGTAAATCGGTTTCTAAGAAACCTCAAATAACTCCTCTAATATATATCCAATATATATACATTTAAAAGTGGAGTTTAGTCACAGCAACTAGAAAATGTAGACATAATAATGTTGTCCAATAAAGGCATATATATATAGATATAAGGGACTATATCTTTCCGGACGAGTCAAAGTTTGAATTTTGCGCCGATTACAGGTAGGTCAAGTTACCAGTCTTACGGACTGATGTGTAATGGCTTATCATTCCACGACAATGTTAAATGCATTCAAAAATAAATGTTTAAGGCAACAAATGAACGTTAAATGTGAAGAATTCAAGAAAGATGAAAGTATGAGAGAAATACTGGACAACATCAAGCAATACCATCTATAAAACTAAACAAAAGGCACCATATTTGGACACCACAAAACCGTTTGGCACAGCTATATTCGGGCATCACAAAACCATTTAGCACAGCGATATTGGGGCATCACAAAACCCTTTAGCACAGCTATATTGGGGCATCACAAAACCCTTTAGCACAGCTATATTGGGGCATCACAAAACCATTTAGCACAGCTATATTGGGGCATCACAAAACCATTTAGCACAGCTATATTGGGGCATCACAAAACAATTTAGCACAGCTATATTAGGGCACCACAAAACCATTTAAAACAGCTATATTGGGGCACCAGAAAACCCTTTAACACAGCTATATTGGGGCACCAGAAAACCCTTTAGCACAGCTATATTGGGGCACCACAAAACCATTTAGCACAGCTATATTGGGACATCACAAAACTGTTACTATGTAATCAGTAGTCCAGTGTGTGTATGTGTGTGTATGTGTGTGTGTGGGGGGGGGGGGTTGCAAAACAGGCACTGAGTGAGTCAGTGTCGTTCAAACTCATCATGAACTCACAACAAGCGATTAACACCCTCTGACACAAAGTGCCACCAACAGGATGAGAATTTCCCAGGCGCAAGTCATCCCCCCCCCCCCCCCCCCCAGCCAGTCAAAAAAATCAAGTCATACGGTTATATTAGGGCCCCACTCGACAGCGGGAGTTGGTCTCGATCGAGGACACGAGAACGTATGAGAGGTCTGACAATGAAAACTGATTACACAGGCTGAAGTCATGTGATTCTAAAACTGTGAAACTGTTCGCTAAGATTTGTAGTGTATTGTACTAACAATGAAGAGACGATGTATTCATGCTAAAAAAAATATAAACTTTAACTTGAGAATGGGCACATTGACACAAACACACTCGTGCAGTATCTGCATTGGTTAAACACAAGTTCTACAGCTTACCAGCTGCTATAGCCCGGGCTCAATCCCTGTCTACATTCTGCCTACTCAACTTATTTTTGGCCACCATTATGCCAGCTTACCTTTCGCTGCTCGCAGGCCAAGCCACAGATATATACGTAAAACACTGATTTAGCTTATATTTGATCAGAATTGACATTATGTGTGCTTTACATTACTACTGTACCAATATTTTTTTCGTTCCGTTTATTACAAAGCTGCAGTGGTGGTTTCCAGTTGGTGCAGTTTATGAAGTTGGGGTGGGTGTGGGGGTATTAACGTTGATGTTATCAGTACATCTATTGTCGAAGTCTTCAAAGAAGGGATATTTTTCAAATGTTATATTGTTAAGCAAAGAGACAACTCTTTCTACAGCTGCAGATGAACCAGATCAGGCTAAGAGACAATGCATTCATATTGACAATAATAGAAAGTGATTTTTTCCATTTCCACATTTTCTTCTGAAACTGTAGACCATCAACCTGCTTGCGTGTATATAGTTTATAGTTGTTGATCTTGCACTATTAGTTGCTTTCGGTGTTTTTTTTTTTTTTTTTTTTTTACAATTTGTTGGTAATGTTCTACTTTAAATGAAAAATTGCATGACTAGTGGCATAACTGACCTTGGCATTTCTTTAGTAGACATACTAAATTCAGCGTAGTGTCAAAATTTAAAACATTGATGCAAAATCTCTAAAACGTTTCCAGACATGCGGCGTGGTACCAAAAGTACAGTTTTGCTAGGCACAGGTCAAATATGATCAAATAATCAGGAAAGTACCAACTTCGACAGCCCTGACTAGTACTTGTTCAATATCTCTGACGGCATCCACACGGGTAATGCACTTGACCTGGTCGACTTATTAGAACAGAGGTTTCAAAACTGTCTGCCCCGACACATTTATGTATAGTAAAAGTAAGTAAAGGACCCTTTTCCACGCCATCAGGCGTATAAGGCATATAGGGCTAGACCTATATGTTTATAGACCAATCGGCACAAGATGGGTGATCTGGTCAGCATCACGCCGGCCGCCTTTACTTTCCCGGGACTGCAACCGGAACCTACTTAAGGCTGGGTCGACCTGGGATTTGTGTATAGGCTGCGGTAAATAAAATAATCAATGTATGTATATTTTCTATACCTCTCATAGAAGGCTAGTTGAAACTTGTGTTTGCTAGAGTAGGCTGAATAACTGTGGTTATCTAAAGCGCGTCTTATCGGCAGCTTTTAACTCTTTGAGTCCTAAGGAACGCATCATACGTTCATAGGTTCTTACCTAAAAGCCCATTGAACGCATGATGTGTCCATTTTAGTCTCTCTTTAAAACCCATTGGGCCTGTGATGCTAAATCCCCTGAGACTCAAAGAGTTAATAGCTTGAATTCTGAACTGTATAGTTTTAAAACCAAGTTAGGTATTTTCAATTATAATGTTATTTCAGTTTTAACAAATGTCAGTGACAGTTTGAGAACCACTAAAAGCATTCCAAAAACAGATGTCTGAGAAAAATTATGAAGATAAAACAGGATGAATTCAAAAGGCAGGAAGATATAAAAAAAATATCTCGGCAACCACTAATTTAAACATTTGTATAACAGAGAAGATGCCGCTAAATTAGAAACATCCCGAAAAGGCACCAGCAGAGAATTGCCAAACAGGCATTACAACGGTTAATAAAGATATTAAGGAGGCGAGGACGAACAAAAGAAACTGTAAGACGAAAGGTAGTAAGAGGAGTTAAATCTGCTGGACTGGATTCCATCCAGGGTAAATCGGAATGGAGAAATAGACTGTCAGTCCTATGTTGCATAAAATGAAACAACAGGATAATAAACGATCGAAAACGTGTGTCAGCAACACGAACAATTTTGAAAGCTCTCTCCGAATATCTTGACAGTAATAACTGAATGTTGAATTAAGAAACGACATCACAGCACTCGGGACACTCCCTTAAGTACTCTGTCCCCATCTTCAGCAGCAAGCCAAGAGTTCCAGTTCCGATGGTTCCAGCAGCCGCCTGATTGTATCACTGCGGATCAGAAATGCTATACGTGTATTGCATAGACAAAGTAAACTAAATTAGAGGCAGCGGGAAGAGACAATAACCGATTATTATAATGTAAACAAAATTAGGGAGGAAAGGCGGGGGGAGGGGGGGGGGGAGAGAAAATAAGCATAATATTGTAGATAAGCTTTTTTAGAAGGAGGGTAAAAGTAACGTTAATCTCCCCACGCCCCACCCATATACACAGTAGTTCCCTTCTGATTGATAGTTAATGAACCTGTCACAGTGGCACAAGGTTACTGGGGTGTTCCGCCATGCCGCTGATATCGCGTATTGTATATTTCAGTACCACTGCGCTTTTAACACTAAAAAAACATGAACAAACTGGTCCTAACACAACCCTCCTAGAGAGCTACGTCACATGCATTCTCTTTCTCGGAATCAAAACGTAAATGCAAGACATCACAGAAAGCAATCAACAGAGCGGACACACCAGTAACCTTCAGGAAAGTCGACCAGCCCAACATACCTGTGCATGAAAAGTGACCTACTCTATTTAAGAGTATTAAAGTAAATCTAACCTAGCGGGAGAGGGGACAGGGAAATTAGCTTATCACTATACAGTAAGCTAAAGTAACACGTGTTATTTTTTTCTCTTTACTCCAGAGTTACATCGCGAACAAGATGCTATGTGATGTGGCCAGTATCACTTCTGTAGCCTTTACTTCCAATGACTTTAATGAGCCTAGGTCTAATGCCTGAACACACGCAGATACAGGGTGTCGTTGTAGCTTGTTCAGTCTCGAATACACAGAAGAAGTATAAATTCCTCGTCTCATGTGATCATGTTTACATAGAACCAGTTGCACACCAGGTGTGTAACAACATTACAGACACACCAGGCGTGTAACAACATTACAGACATACCAGGTGTGTAACAACATTACAGACACACCAGGTGTGTAACAACATTACAGACACACCAGGTGTGTAACAACACACAGACACACATTGCAGGTGTGTAACACTTACATTACACCAGGATTGTAACAACATTACAGACACACCAGGTGTGTAACAACATTACAGACACGCCAAATATGTAACAACCTTACAGACACACCAGGTGTGTAACAACATTACAGACACACCAGGTGTGTAACAACATTACAGACACACCAGGTGTGTAACAACATCACAGACACACCAGATGTGTAACACCATTACAGACACACCAGGTGTATAGCAACAACATTACAGACATACAGACACTAGGTTTAACAACATTACACACAGGTGTGTACATTACAGACACACCAGGTGTGTAACAACATTACAGACACACTAGGTTTGTAACAACATTACAGACACACCAGGTGTATAGCAACATTACAGACATACTAGGTTTGTAACAACATTACAGACACACCAGGTTTGTAACAACATTACAGACACACCAGGTTTGTAACAACATTACAGACACACCAGGTGTGTAACAACATTACAGACACACCAGGTGTGTAACAACATTACAGACACACCAGGTTTGTAACAACATTACAGACACACCAGGTGTGTAACAACATTACAGACACATCAGGTGTGTAACAACATTACAGACACACCAGGTGTGTAACAACATTACAGACACATCAAATGTGTAACAACATTACAGACACACTAGGTTTGTAACAACATTACAGACACACCAGGTGTGTAACAACATAACAAACACACCAGATGTGTAACAACATTACAGACACACTAGGTTTGTAACACCATTACAGACACACCAGGTGTGTAAAAACATTACAGACATACCACCGATCTAGTATGGTCACGTTAGTGGCACGAACTATTTAAGACACTTATAGATCACTGATAACTAATTTCTGCGAGATCTCTAGAGTACTCCTTTGGCTTATCTCTGCCCATCTCTTGTGCTTATCTCTACGTGTTGTGTATCCACGCAAACTTTGTTGGGTGTGTTTGCACTGTTCCATCTATATGTTTGTAACGTCCCACGTTTAGTGACAAACTGATATATCTTGTATCAGGGGACCTGTGTTTAGGTTTATCTTTTATTCATTACTGTTTTATTTATCCAGAAAAGGGGACTTTTGCTACGATGTTTCCTAGAACTGACCACAACACGCTGCCTGTGGATAGTGGTTGGGCTTGGGCTATCACAGCTGGTAAGTTCCATAAACCAATCCTTGTTCCGGTCACTCATGCATGCGTTTTCTTTTGTATGAACCTTTGTCTTTTTTTTTGCGATCGATTCCTTATCGCCAAGTTATCAGCTATATTACCTCCAAAAACTGACACATCAGCGGCGAGCCTGCAAGGGTTCCCTAAAATGTATCCAGGATGCCTCTTCCCTATGGCCAGGTATTTTGTTGCAGATTTTGCTGCAGGGAGTTGTCAATGTTTTAAGGTTTTTAGAGTGTGGTGTGGCAGGAACAGTAAGTGGGGTCACTACGCCAAATTTTTTTTTTTATTATTTACAGAGAGAGCAATTGTTTTATAATGGTCAATGGAAGGGATACATGTTATTACATTTGCATACTTTAAGTGTGAAAAAATCCTGGTTGTCATGGCAATAGCCGTCATCTTGGGGGAAAAAAACAACATGTACTTAGAATCCTAAAATTTTCAAAAACATACATAACTATTACACAATAGATGATAGATTCATAATTTTTTGTCTTGTTTAAATTTAGGTCAAGGTTTGGCTTATTTACTTTAAACATGTTTTTAAATATTTTTCGTAGAATTTTTAAATGTAGGTTTATTGAAAAAGTCAAAAAAAATCTTTCATCTTAAGACAATAATTAAATTTAAAAAAAAAACAAGACTTTCTAAAATCAGTTTTTAGAAAAACCAGTCCCTATAATATTGTTTAGTATCGTACTAAATTTCTTTTTTTTTTAGTCAATTTATTAGTTGAGATTTAAGGATTTCACACACACACAACAAACAAAAATATAGAGATTTGAGAACACTGACTTTTACACTTTTTTTTTTATCTTAAAAAAGTGCATGAGTTAGTGCCTTAATTATGAACTTTTCAAAGCTAAATTGTTTACCAATGACACAAATTTTGTGTGTAATCAATTCTACTAATGCCGAACTTTACAAAAACGAACACATTGAAAAAATGATATATTTGTCATAAATTGGAAAAAAATGTCGTGTAGTGACCCTTTAAAAATAAATGAAGGTTCCTTTTCACGCCTTTAGGCGCATCGGGTATATGGGAAGAGCGCCCATATTGTTTCAGACCATCGGCACTAGGTAGGTAATGGGGTCAGCATTACGCCGACCGTCTTTACTTCCCCAGGACATACATCCTGGTACCCATTTGAGGCCAGGTCCACCTGCGACGCCCCATACCACGATACCAATCCACGCAGCCAGCAGTTGGTTTTGATCGCGGTACGTTGGAAAAAGAATTCTTGCTTGCTACATACATCCAGTTTTAACATATGGGTGTGAATCCTGGACAATCGGTAGGCAGGCCAAACAATTTTCTAGAGGCCTCAGAGATGTGGTTTTACAGAAGAATGCTTAGAATACCTTGGACAGCCATAAAGAGCAACCAAGAGGTTTTGAAAGAGGCGGGAGTCCGAAGACAACTTATCATAGACATCAGAAAAAGACAGTTATCATTTTTCGGCTATGTTATGAGAAGAGGGAAAATAGAACATCTTGTGACCACTGGAAAGATCTGTGGGAAAAAAAGGGATAGAGGAAGACAACGAGAGAAGATGCTTGACAGTCTTGTTGCATGGCATGGAGGTGTGTCGGCACCCGAACCGAAATATGCTGCAGGAGATCGCAGATTATGGAGAGGCATGATCACCCACGCAAGTCGGCAAGGCACCTGATGATGATGATGACGTTGGAAAAACGAAGTGAGTCGCTTATGCAGCCTCTATTCTGTGCATGTGGGTGGTTCCCTGATCTTAGTGAGAGCAAAACAAATCTGGTGTACTACCTTCTATTTAGTCTAGTCTGTGACAGTGAAAATAATATATCCTACATAAATATATTTTCAGTGACAACTGTGTCTATGAAGTGGAGAAATCCTGACGTTTTATCTTCTTCTTCTTTTTCTTCACTTCCTCTTTTACCGCTGTGGGTGCCGAGGGAGATGTAAGGTTCTGTTTCTAGCTCTTCTGGCCGCCTCGACCATAGGCACATCGTGCTGTTGTAGAGTTTCTCTGATGTTATCCGTCCATATTGTTCTTGGTCTACCTCGTGCTTTGGTGTGGTGTCACAAGGCATTCTCTCTTTTTTGGCAAACCATTTCACTTGCTGTCTTCGAATGTAATCCAGAATTGGTTCTGTGCCGCCTTTTTCTCTTATGATCTCATTTCTGATCTTATCTCTTATGGTCACTCCTACAGCCCTTCTCAGACATCTCATTTCCATGGTTACTAATTTTCTTTTTATCAGTTTTATCAGTTCCATCAAAGCATAAAAGGACCTTATATCTATTCGTGTTTACTAACATTGTCATTATTACACACCTTGTGGGGCTGCGTGTGGGTTCATACTTATTTCCGAGTAAGTTCTCATTTCTTTAATGCTCTTAGTGTTTTGATCAATTGTATTCATTGTTTCCCTCCCTACCACTGTCCTTGACCCTACATCATCATTTCCTTTAGTCTATTCTACCAGTGCCTTTCTATTGGCAACAGTGTTCTCAATTTACCGCACCGGGTGAGCTATTGTAAATAAGTAACAGAATGCCCCCACGAGCAGACACGCGCTGCCTGGACCTACTTCTGCATGCTTGTCGAATTATACTTAGTCTTTTTGTTTTTCGAGATTTTTGACAGGGGCTAAATCACCAGCCGTTTATTGACAAAGATTTAAGCACCAGCCTGTTATTGGCAAGGGTTTGATCTCCAGTCGTTTATTGACAAGTGTTTAATCTCCAGCTGTGTGTTGACAAGGGTTTAATCTTAAGCGGTGTGATGACAGAGGTTTAATCTCCAGTGGTGTGTTCACAGAGGTTTAATCTCCAGTGGTGTGTTGACAGAGGTTTAATCTCCAGCGGTGTGTTGAAAGACGTTTAATCTCTAGCTGTGTGTTGACAGAGGTTTAATCTCCAGCTGTGTGTTGACAGAGGTTTAATCTCCAACGGTGTGTTGACAAAGGTTTAATCTCCAGCGGTGTGTTGACAGGGGTTTAATCTCCAGCGGTGTGTTGATAGGGGTTTATTCTCCAGCTGTGTGTTGACAGAGGTTTATTCTCTTGCTGTGTGTTGTCAGGGGTTTAATCTTCAGCTGTGAGTTAACAGGCGTTTAATCTCCAGCTGTAAGTTGACTGGGTTTAATCTTCAGCTGTGAGTTGACAGGGTTTTAATCTCCAGCTGTGTGTTGACAGGGGTTTAATTGCCAGCTGCGTGTTGACAGGGGCGTAATTGCCAGCGCTGTGTTGACAGAGGTTTAATCTCCAGCTGTGTGTTGACAAGGGTTTCCTCTTCAGCTGTGTGTTGAAAAGGGTTTAATCTCCAGCTGTGTGTTGACAGGGGTTTAATCTCCAGTGGTGTGTTGACAGGGTTTTAATCTCCAGCTGTGTGTTGACAGGGGTTTAATCTCCAGCTGTGTGTTGACGAGGTTTAATTGCCAGCTTGTGTTGACAGGGGTTTGGTCTACAGCTGTGTGTTGACGAGGTTTAATTGCCAGCTGTGTGTTGACAGGGGTTTAATCTCCAGCTGTGTGTTGAAAGGGTTTAATCTCTAGCTGTGTGTTGACAGAGGATAAATCTTCAGCTGTGTATTGACAGAGGTTTAATCTCCAGTGGTGTTGCGAAAGGGGTTTAATCTTCGGTGGTGTGTTGACAGAGGATTAATCTCCAGCTGTGTGTTGACAAGGGTTTAATCTCCAGCTGTGTGTTGACAAGGGTTTAATCTTCAGCTGTGTGTTGACAAGGGTTTAATCTCCAGCTGTGTGTTGACAGGGGTTTAATCTCCAGCTGTGTGTTGACTGGGTTTAATCTTCAGCTGTGAGTTGACAGAGTTTTAATCTCCAGCTGTGAGTTGACTGGGTTTAATCTTCAGCTGTGTGTTGACAGGGGTTTAATCTCCAGCTGTGAGTTGACTGGGTTTAATCTTCAGCAGTGAATTGACAAGGGTTTAATCTCCAGCTGTGTGTTGACAGTGGTTTAATCTCCAGTGGTGTGTTGACAGGGGTTTAATCTCTATCTGTGTGTTGACAGGGGTTTAATCTCTATCTGCGTGTTGACAGGGGTTTAATTGCCTGCTGTGTCTTGACAGGGGTTTAATCTCCAGCGGTGTGTTGATAGGGGATTTTTTTCCAGCTGTGTGTTGACAGAGGTTTATTCTCCTGCTGTGTGTTGTCAGGGGTTTAATCTTCAGCTGCGAGTTGACATGGGTTTAATCTCCAGCTGTAAGTTGACTGGGTTTAATCTTCAGCTGTGAGTTGACAGGGTTTTAATCTCCAGCTGTGTGTTGACAGGGGTTTAATTGCCAGCTGCGTGTTGACAGGGGCGTAATTGCCAGCGCTGTGTTGACAGAGGTTTAATCTCCAGCTGTGTGTTGACAAGAGTTTTATCTTCAGCTGTGTGTTGAATAGGGTTTAATCTCCAGCTGTGAGTTGACAGGGGTTTAATCTCCAGCTGTGTGTTGACAGAGGTTTAATGTCCAGTGGTGTGTTGACAGTGGCTTAATCTCCAGCTGTGTGTTGACGAGGTTTTATTGCCAGCTCTGTGTTGACAGGGGTTTGATCTACAGCTGTGTGTTGACGAGGTTTAATTGCCAGCTGTATGTTGACAGGGGTTTAATCTCCAGCTGTGTGTTGACAAGGGTTTTATCTTCAGCTGTGTGTTAAAAAATGTTTAATCTCCAGCTGTGAGTTGACAGGGGTTTAATCTCCAGCTGTGTGTTGACAGAGGTTTAATGTCCAGTGGTGTGTTGACAGTGGTTTAATCTCCAGCTGTGTGTTGACGAGGTTTTATTGCCAGCTCTGTGTTGACAGGGGTTTAATCTACAGCTGTGTGTTGACGAGGTTTAATTGCCAGCTGTGTGTTGACAGGGGTTTAATCTCCAGCTGTGTGTTGACAAGGGTTAAATCTCTAGCTGTGTGTTGACAGAGGATAAATCTCCAGCTGTGTATTGACAGAGGTTTTTTCTCCAGTGGTGTTGCAAAAGGGGTTTAATCTCCGGTGGTGTGTTGACAGAGGATTAATCTCCAGCGGTGTGTTGACAGAGTTTTAATCTCCAGCTGTGTGTATGACAGAGGTTTAATTGCCAGCCGTGTGTTGACAGTGGTTTAATCTCTAGCTGTGTGTTGACAGGGGTTTAATCTCCAGCTTTGTGTTGACAGGGGTTTAATCTCCGGTGATGTGTTGACAGAGGTTTAATCTCCAGCTGTGTGTTGACAAGGGTTTAATCTCCAGCTGTGCGTTGACAAGGGTTTAATCTCCAGCTGTGTGTTGACAAGGGTTTAATCTCCAGCTGTGTGTTGACAGGGGTTTAATCTCCAGCTGTGAGTTGACAGGGGTTTAACCTCCAGCTGTGTGTTGACAGTGGTTTAATCTCCAGCTGTGTGTTAACAGGGGTTTAATCTCCAGCTGTGTGTTGACAGGGGTTTAATCTTCAGCTGTGTGTTGACAGGGGTTAAATCTCCAGCTGTGTGTTGACAGGGGTTTAATCTCCAGCTGTGTGTTGACAGGGGTTAAATCTGCAGCTGTGAGTTGACAGTGGTTTAATCTCTATCTGTGTGTTGACAGGGGTTTAATTGCCTGCTGTGTCTTGACAGGGGTTTAATCTCCAGCGGTGTGTTGATAGGTGTTTATTCTCCAGCTGTGTACTGACAGAGGTTTATTCTCCTGCTGTGTGTTGTCAGGGGTTTAATCTCCAGCTGTGTGTTGACAGGGGTTTAATCTCCAGCTGTGAGTTGACAGTGGTTTAATCTCTATCTGTGTGTTGACAGGAGTTTAATTGCCTGCTGTGTCTTGACAGGGGTTTAATCTCCAGGTGTGTGTTGATAGAGGTTAAATATCCAGCAGTGAGTTCTTTTTGTATTTAAAAAAAAAAAAATCTTTTTCTATCGTTTAGGGCCTAAAGCGTGTCAGAGAGGAGTAATATTTAGTTTGCTGTCTTTTGCTAGTTGCGTAGCCCGTGTTAATGTTGTATTGCTTTTCTATAGTGTTTCGTTTATTCCCTGTATCCATCTCATTCTTAGTCATCTTCTTACCTTGTGGTATGCTGTTTCATATTTTAAGCTCTGGCTGCTGACTGACATTGTTCTTTTCTGATCAGATATCCACATTATCTGATTCTTTGATATTCTATAAAGTCATTTTTGTTGACAAGTTTCGATCATTAGCTGTAATTGGATTCCTATTTCCTGTGGGCCCCCACCATCAGCTGACATGACCTAGTCAGAATTGTATGTCAACGGAAAAACCCAGTCATTTATTTACTATTGTTTAGTTTTCATTAGGGCAATTCTGGGTTCAGTAGACTGATACTGAGTCCTGAGCTGTTCGACACTTATTTAGTTGTTCTAGTCAATCTAAATCTGTCTGCTGCCTCATCGCCTGGCAATTGATTTTGATTTCGCGTATGTCTGGATTACAAAACTGCGATCACAACCTGTCGGCAGCAGACACGACTGAGGAAGATCATCTGATACTTTTTATGACTTGGCCTGAGAAAATCTGAACATCTGTGTTGTTTCTGAAATGTTTTAGACACATAGAGGGAGATTTGAACGAACAATTATGTGTGTAGCGCAATTTGGTTATCTTCCGAATAACGGGCACATATTATGGCGGCCGCAAAAAAACACCCTAACAGGGCCTGAGTCACATGTCAATTGCGCACTTCCGGCGACTTAATTTGCGAGCTTCCGGCAACTACCGCCACTGCAGAGAGTATCCCCCACGCCACTACACGCGGCGTGTATTAGGGCTAAACTAGATGGCTAGGACTCACGAGCAGCAACTTCCGCATCTCGTGCAGCTTTGATGGATACTCTCGGCGGTGGCGGTAGTCGCCAGAAGTTCGCAATTTACATGTGAAGGCCCTGTTTTTCGCCGCCATAATGTGTGCCCGTTATTCGGAGGATAGCCCATTTTTTTCTGAATGTGCTTGTGTGTGTGAGTGTGCGGTAACTGTTCAGATTCCTGTATTTATATAAGTTAATAGTGATGATGCTGTTTCCCCAGCTGGGCTGATTTCTCATGTGACGATGGGATCAGCCTCTCAAACAAACTCACTGCTCTTCCTGGAGGTTCTGGAGAAGTACCAGTCCAGCATTACCACCGGCTCCTTGATGTTTATGTGTGCCACACTGCTGTTTAGCTTCAGCTGTAAGTCATTCTCGGTCTTTCGGGTACTCTTGGTGTGGGTGTTTGTGTGTGGGTTGTGTGTGGGTGTGTGTGTGTTTGTGTGTGGGTGTTTGTGTGTGGGTGGTTGTGTGTGGGTGTTTGTGTGTGGGTGTTTGTGTGCGTGTTTGTGTGTGCGTGTTTGTGTGTGCGTGATGATGTGTGCTTGTTTAGGTATGGGGGTGTGTGGGTGGGTGTTTGTGTGTGGGCGTTTGTGTGTGTGTGTGTTTTTTCGTTTGTGTGTAAGTGTGTGTGCTTGATGGTGTGTTCGTGTTTGTGTGTGGGTGTTTGAGTGTGGGTGTTTGTGTATGGGTGTTTGTGTGTGGGTATTTGTGTGTCGGTGTTTGTGTGTGCATGTTTGTTTGTGCATGTTTGTGTGTGCGTGTTTGCGTGTTTGTGTGTGGGTGTTTGTGTGCGTGTTTGTGTGTACGTGTTTGTGTGTAGGTGTTTGTGTTTAGGTGTTTGTCTGTAGGTGTTTGTGTGTGGGTGTTTGTGCGTGGGGGTTTGTGTGTGGGTGTTTGTGTGTGCGTGTTTGTGTGTGCGTGTTTGTGCGTGCATGTTTGTGTATGCGTGTTTGTGTGTGCGTGTTTGTGTGTAGGTGTTTGTTTTTGTGTTTGGGTGAGTGTGTGTGGGTATTTGTAGGTGCGTGTTTGTTTGAGGGTGTTTGTGGGTGCGTGTTTATTTGTGGGTGTTTATGTGTGCGTGTCTGTGTGTCTGTATGTGAGAGAGAGGTAGAGAGAGAGAGAGAGAGAGAGGTAGAGAGAGAGAGGTAGAGAGAGAGAGAGAGGTAGAGAGAGAGAGAGAGGTAGAGAGAGAGGTAGAGAGAGAGAGGAGAGAGAGAGAGAGAGAGGTAGAGAGAGAGGTAGAGAGAGAGAGAGGTAGAGAGAGAGAGAGGTAGAGAGAGAGAGAGAGGGGTAGAGAGAGAGAGAGGTAGAGAGAGAGAGATAGAGAGAGAGAGAGGTAGAGAGAGAGGTAGAGAGAGAGAGAGAGGTAGAGAGAGAGAGAGGAGAGAGAGAGAGAGAGAGAGAGAGAGAGAGAGAGATGGCGCTATGTGATTGTCGTGAGGGATTGTTCACTCTATCTTGAATCTTAGTTAATACGCACTAATTTATGCAATGATGGCTTTCCGTTCTGTGTCAAAGTAAATTCAGTAAAACGTTTTCATTATCCGGTTTTTTTTCCCACACATGACACACAGGTACCAACACTCAGCCATTTATAACGCTACATAACATGCTAATAGTCATTACGTTTGGCTCAATTAACATTTTTCAACCCGAATACTTCTTCAGCATTCCGAGCACGTGAGGTTCACTGCTGTAGATATCATCATTCATTTCTCTGAGCCTGAATACCTCACACACAAAAATCAGACCATGCATATAACCGAAACTACTTGGCTTGCAGTAGGGAGAACGTGGTAGCCCCCCCCCCCCCCCCCCATAACCTCGCCAACGGATATTACATGGACATTGATTAGCTCCGCTAGGGGCTGTAGTGGTAGCCTACAATGTAGAACATAATGTTCTGAAATAGATACAGTGTTTGTATTTCCGACATTACATATCATAGTCAACACAAACTGATAGACACGAACATTGTTTTGTTGTCCACTCTCTTGTCCTCAGCGGTACTGACCGCAACCTACCTCATGCCCAAGCTGAATGAACGGAGATGTGTGATTTTGGGAGGCTGCATGTCCTCTGGGTTCACCCTTGGTGCCTCCTTTGCACCGAACATGGGCACTTTCATTGTCATGATAGCTTTGAGAGGTAAGTACTCCAGTATGGTGCCGGTGCCATGGTTGCTATAGAAGTCGGCTGCACCGGCAGTTACCTGCTAGGTTGTCTGACCTGTCTGATCTGCTCATGTCCATTCTATTTGTTACGAAGTAATCATTTCTGGACTGTAGTGCTATAGATAGGCATAGAATAACAGCCGTGATGATGTCAAGTACAACAAGCAAGATCAGCGAGTCAAGAAAAAAGTAAGAGATCCTTTTCCACTATTTTAGGCTTCTAGGGCATATAGGGCTAGACCTATATTCTATAGACCAATCTGCACAAGATGGATGATGTGGTCAGCATCACGCCAGTCGTTTTTTTTTTCTGGGATTTCACCCGGTACCCACTCAAGACTGGGTCGCCCTGGAAGCCAAGGTCATTTTTGAAAAAAGTCCGGTCCAGGAAGCGAACCCACAACCTTCCGATCCGCGGCGAGCATCTGGCCGCTTTGCCACGCGACTCCCAAATCGTCAGTCGCAGCATATGTTTTAAAAACTCACTTGATAACAGTTGCATGTTGTCATTGAACATGTGAAAATGATGAGACATTGTGAAAATTCCACTAGTGTTAGCACAGATTGTAATAAGCCTTTTATCTAGCTCTCAGTAGATGAAGCCAGCTGTCCAAATGTAGACTTGCCATTAGTTCAGCAATTATAACACTCATAGGCACGGCTCAAATCCTCATCTCAATGCTGAACTCTAGGTTATATAGTCTTTGGACAATTGCGCAGTTTCAGTTATGTGCTTGTAAATTTCAGAGAACCTGTGAATAAAGGGAACGAAAGTTACATTGATTTGAAAACAAATGCGTGAGGAAACTGATAAACATAAGGTTACTTGCGTATCCTTTACAGGACGTTGCAGAACCAACCCCAGCAGCACTGGCTGTTGTGAAGTTTCTCTAGGCAAATTTACGTCCAATAGTTTTTGGACGGTCGGCCCCCTGACACCACTGTCGAAACCAACGCAAGGCGCATGGCCTGCAGCTGGGATCAAACCTGGCATCCCGGCATTACGAAGCGTTCGCATCGACTTAGCCACAGAGCCGACGATAAACATAAATAAGATGAAATAAAGAAAGGCCAGAGACATACCTGGACTTCAGCTTGCATAAACTCATAAGAATAGGAAGATGGCGATAAATCAGACAAATGGGTCAATAAACAGAAAATAAGTACTGAAATGTGAAACAACTGGCTAAGAAAACCAAGGAGATTCTAGAGAAATGCCACGATCAAAGTTAGTAACATGAGCTGTGGTGACAAGACAGCATAGTGGTGGTGTTGGTGTTGGTGGTGGTGTTGGTGTTAGTGGTGGTGTTGGTGTTGGTGGTGGGTTGCGTTTTGAGGCACCTGATAGGGTGAGTCACCCTATAACATCTGCCTGCTGCAACCGACCGAAGTCCCATACCGCTGGGTCAGTCGATGTCGGGGTTTCCTATCGTGTTGTCTACTTTTCCCAATCGATATTATTTTTTTTCTAAAAGATTATTTAGTTCAGAGGCGACATCAGGTAGGCGATTTGCAGACAGATAGATACACACTCGACTAAGCTACAAGACAGGCTTCTATTACTTGCTATAGCAAACAATAAGCAGCAGCAAATTATAAGTTTTGATAAAGGGTACCTTATAACAGGTCGACAGAGGAGAGATGAAATAGACAGGGGGACCCACCCACCATTCTTTTATTAGCCCACAACAACCATGTTGATGACAGTTGGGGTTATGGGAGCGGGGGACCCCACTGTATACTTCTTCGGTTACACCCACTGACTATAATTCAACACTCTTCTATTAGCTTTTGGAACCCCGATCCTAAAAAAGATATGTCGCATCTGAAGCATTATCTTTTAGAATAAAGAAATATCGTTTGGGGAAAATTATTAACAAGAAAGGAAAACCTGACATCATTTATTCCTTTTAAGACCTCGGTCTTTTGCAGTAGGCAGATGTGGTAAAGTAACTCACGATCCCCATCACGTTCCCCACAACACAGCCCACCACTACCACCACCACCATGCGCGTCGTTTACCACGGCACATACTACTAACGCCGATCAAAACTTAGACATAAGGTACCAGACTGGATACCTTGGACGATACCCACGAGATTAAATAGGGTGGGAAAACGAGAAGCTTATATGTATATGTATGTATGTATGTATGTATGTATGTATGTATGTATGTATGTATGTATGTATGTATGTATGTATGTATGTATGTATGTATGTATGTATGTATGTATGTATGTATGTATGTATGTATGTATGTATGTATGTATGTATGTATGTATGTATGTATGTATGTATGTATGTATATATACATAGATCTATATATACAAAGCAATGTTTGTTTGTTACCTATAGACTCGGAAACTACTGAACCGATTTAGCTGAAATTTTCAGGATATGTTTGTTGTTAATGTATGTATGGATGCTATGTGTCGTAGGTTGAAATCGGTATGCGAAAATGTATGTAGGAAATGTATGTTGTTTGTTTTTTTCTATGTAGTGAGATGTATCATTCATACACCTATGTACATGTATGTATGTAGTATGTATTCGGATGCGTATGTACCCTCATATTCGAACTTTAACATATTTGTTTCTTTTTTTTTTTATTGCCTATCACGCTGGGAAGTTTCATCATTACTTTAAGTTATTTCTTTGATGTCTGTATGTATTATACATATAGAATACTATATTTTCTGCAATGTTGAGTTGTTACCTATACACTCTAGAAATACTGAACCGATTTAAAATTTAGCAGAAGGTGAGTGCATTTATTTCAGTTATATATTTTAATTGCTTCACTTTCAAAAGGTGTGAGCACTCCATGAATCTCGCACTGAAAAATTTCTAAATATTATCTATTGGCTTTCTCCTGCCGCCTCTACCACTGGGAACATTGTACTTTTTAAGTTATTTCTGAACTGGGTTTATGAGAATCATTATCTGCGGTCTCTCTGTTCTCTAGAAATACAATAAATTATAGATAGGTGATGCATATATTTCAGTTATATATATAATTGCTTCACTATCAATATGTGAGCATATGAATATCGCATGAAAAATTTCTAAATATTATCTATTGGCTTTCTCCTGCCGCCTCTACCACACATTGTATAACATTGTCTAACGGGGTTTATTATTATTATTATTATATATATATATATATATTTGGGCTGTACCGAATAGTGATTTTCACTATTCGGCCGAATACGAATAGCTGAACCAACTATTCGGTCGAATACGAATACGAATAGTGAATCATCATCATGAGTTGCTTTGCCGACTGGCATGGGCGATTATGCCTCGCCCGATTCTGCGATCTCATGCAGCATTAATTAGTTCGTGTTCTGACACACCTCCATGCAAGGCAACAAGACTGTCAAGAATCTTCTCTCACTGCCTTCCTCTGTCCCTCCTTCCACAGATCTTTCCAGTTGTCACCACATGTTCCATTTTCCCTCATCTTGCCGAAAACTGATGACTGTCTCCTTTTGATGTTTGTGAGTAAATGTCTTCAGGCTCAAGCCTCTTTCAAAACCTCTTGGTTGTTCTTTTTGACTGTCAAGATATTTTAAGCATTCTTCTGTAAAACGACATCTCTGAGGCCTCAAGAAATTGTTTGGCCTGCCTAACGATTGTCTGTGACTCACAGCCGTATGTTAAAACTGGATGTATATAGCAGGCAAGAAATCTTTTTCTAACCCTCAATGACAAAGATATATTGCATAAGATGTTCTTAATTTTATAAAATGCAGTTTTAGCCTGTTCTATTCTGTTTCTTATTCCAGTAATGCATCTTCCATCTAATGTTATCCATGTGCCCAGATACTTAAATTTCTGTACTTGTCCCAAAATAAAACCATTGACTTTTATTACACATTTTGGAATAATTATTTTCTTTGATACCACCATTACTTCTGTCTTCCCGCTATTCAAACTGAAGCCTCTTCTTTAAGTTTCGTGTATAAACTAAATCTTTAAAAAATTTTTTTTTTAAATCCATAAAGTGAAATGTACGCTGAAATTTTCCTTCACACAATGTAATACAGAATAGTAAACATTTAAAAACATTTCATGTTTTGCATCCTTCAGTCAGTCAGTCTGTGATAACTAATACCTAATGAAAGTATTCTTAGTTTTATAACAAGTAACTAAACTTGTAAATTTTTACTGACAGCTTAGTTAATCCATGAAAGCGGCATTAGCTTTAAAAAAAAAAATCGTTCCATGTTGTCAGCATTAGGGCAGCTTCTTGTCTCACTGTAGGTATTTCCAGCTGTACTAAACAGACGTTCACTTGGTACGCTCGTAGGTGGTGCACAAAGATAACGCTTGACAGTATGAACCAAGGTGGGAAATCTGTATATGTTTTTTTTCTACCAGTCCAGAAACGGGTGTAAGGTAACAACTATTCGTATTCGGCCCGACCGCAACTATTCGGCCGAATACCGAATTGTTATTAGGTCCACTATTCGGCCCCGAAGCGAATACGAAGTGAATATTCGGTACAGCCCTAATATATATATATATTTTTTTTAAACCCATGTTTGTCTGTTTGTTACCTCTAGACTAGCAAACTATTAAACAGGATATGTTTGTTTTGACGTCATAGTTTGAAATAGGTGGCGATGAGAATTTTATAAACAAATCTAAAAAAAAAAAAAAAAAACACACACTGAGTGGATTCATATCGTTTACCGGCTTTTACAAACATTTTCCGCGCAGTTTCTATGCATTTCTTTGTGATTGGAGTCGTATTTAATTGAATGCTATTACAGTAAAAAAAAAAATTTTTGTTTTTGTTTTGAGAATTCGTTGTTTGGATTTGCTCGTGTCTGATTCTCATCTTTGAGGTGTCAATCCTACAGACAGCAATTCTGGAGGGCAACAGTTTCCGAGTTTTTAAGTGGAATCTTTTTTTTAAAAATGTTTTGGGGAATCCTGATTACAGATTATCTCAATCTATCGATAACATTTTAATTAATATACCAATGGACAGTCACCACTGAGTTTGGGAGATAAAATTATCGTCTAAAAATTGAAATAGTATTCCAGAGTTACAACAAATTAAAACTTTGTGAACATTGATACTTGAGAAAAGATACGTATTTTAATTTATAACTGATAAAACTATATTTACCAGCAATATATGTCACTTAAAGCTAATTTTAATTTATAACTGATAAAACTAAATTTACCAGCAATGACTGTCACTTAAAGTTGTTTCAGATTTTTGTAAAATCTTTGATGTGACATTAATAATAAACAAGTGACAGGAGAATCAAACATTCCAAAACAGTGTTAGTGACAGGTGACAGTGTTAGTGACAGGTGACAGTGTTAGTGACAGGTGACAGTGTTAGTGACAGGTGACAGTGTTAGTGACAGGTGACAGTGTTAGTGACAGGTGACAGTGTTAGTGACAGGTGACAGTGTTAGTGACAGGTGACAGTGTTAGTGACAGGTGACAGTGTTAGTGACAGGTGACAGTGTTTTTCTAGGTTCAGACTGTTTTCTTTGTGATTATTACGACACCGACTGACTGTTGTGTAGAATATCAAGGGATCACTTTGATAAAGGTAGGCAGGTAATTATGCCCCACTAGGGCATCGCACAAGCGATAAACGCCCGGTGACACAAAGAGCCACCATGCGGATGAGGATAACCCGTAGAGAAGTCCCAGCAACCGATTTCAGCCGTTAGGTAATATATTTATATGGCTGGGCTATGTAATTAGTGCTCCCGGCAACAGCCAGGCTGGGGCTTCAAAAAAAAAAAAAAATTGTATGCCACATGGGAACGACTATATTTATTATACTAACAATAATACATTCTCATAAATAGGCAGCTGATAATTTATATGAAAACCTGACACGAAGTCTTGTCTTTATTTCTTGTGCAGGGATAAGCCATGGAATTATCTTTGTGCCCGCTATCGCCCTGATACCCAAATATTTTAAAAGATTTCGGTCACGAGCCAGTATGGTGCCATGGTGCGGCGGAAGCGCGGCTTCGATTATCGCCCCTTTTATCATTAGAGCTGTGAGAAAGGAGTATGGGGTGAGTGGTGCTTACTTCCTCCTGTCGGCCTTTGAACTTCATTACATAGTGGCGGGCTTGTTGCTGCGACCAGCCAGTGCGTACAGGTGAGTGCTTCAGTGGTTTGTTAAGTTACTGTATTTACGCCTGGACATACCGCAGTTAATTGCATGTCCTTTACATGAAGTTGCAGAACCAAGCCCAGCATATTTTGGTTTATCTAGGAAAATGTATGTCCAGTAGTTGCTTTCTGTGCGGTCGGCTTCATGATACCATTGTCGAAAAATCGCAAGGCCCACAGCTGGCATTGAACCCGGCACCCCAGCATTACTAAGCGCGTGCTCAACGCCAAAGCCCCAGATGCCGTCAGACCGCAGAACATTACCCGGAAATTGTTAATAAAATACAGAGTGTGGCCTATATTACAGGTGGTTTAGGTTTAAGTTAGTCTCCCCAAACAAAGTAAGTCATGTTTCATTACCAACTCTGTTGAGCTGGTCTACTTTCCTGCAGGTTACGTGTGTTCCGCTCTGTTGTTTGTTTTCTGGGTTGTCTTGTGTTTACGTTTTTATTCCGAGAAAGAGAATGCATCTGACATTGGTTGCAACGCTCTCTATGGGTGAGGGGAAGGGTTAGGATGCGTGGAGAAGTCACTGTGACTGTGCTGTATACCGCCGAATCACGAGGTCATTTTGTCGCATAAAGCGGCTTACATTGTCATAGCTGGATTAAATACACTCAATCATTCCTGTCTTCTCTCTGATTACATGTACTACTGGTCCACTTCTGGGACAGGAAAGCTTAGCATACGATACCACACTGGTCACTGCGGCTTTCCAAAATTGTAACTGACAGACACCATGCTGAGGCAGGTGAGGACAGGCATGCTGAGGCAGATGCTTAGTGCAGACTGGCATGCTTCTGTAGGTGAGGACAGCCATGCTTCGTGCAGAGGTCGCGATTAGGAGCATTATCTGGATCTTTTCTCCGGTTGATGCCGGTATGCTAGGAAATGAACATGTTGACAGACTGGCTGACTCTGCACAATTTAGCGAAAGACTGATGCATGATAAGGCAGAGCTGGTCAAGGCATTATGGTAAAGTGTGTAAAATTCGGAGAAGCAGATAGATCACCAGTCTAGTGAGGGTGAGGCGTGACGAGAAGATCTGTCCGATACTCGACGCTCAGAGGAAAGGCAAGACAGATATATCAGAAGACTGAGACTAGCAACACCGGTACTGGAACTCTATGCTGGCTGCCGAAGATGGGAACTGAGTGCTTATGGGAATGCCTTAAGTGCGATAATGTCGGGTCATGAATAAACTCAACTCATGTACCACTATTTCGGTTTTTGTCTCTAGGCGAAATTCTAAACTAATAGTCCCATAAACTGGGGGCAGGCTGTATATGTGTGTGACCTATCCACGAGTAAATACGGTATTTGTGTGTTAGTTCGTTGATGAACCATCTATCTAATGTCACTTTCAAGTCCTAATCCCACGCATTGAATACATACTGATAAACTAAGTTTGAGGTTATCGAGTAATGATGCAAACACTATCCTCCTCATCTGGTATCGAAGTATAATCTTCACAGAGCCTTTCTTGCAAAACTCTTCTTTACTTCTTCATGCCATTGACTACCTACGGAGAGTTTGGAAAGATAATGTGAACAAGAAAACGCCTTAGATATATTAGGAAATCACAGTGGAAATGGTTTAAGTGTATTGATTACCAATAATATAAATGAAGTAGATGGCTTTACAATGTACACGGATGAAAGACAGTTTGATAATTATCTGCAACTGATAGTGTCCATCATGATTGTTTTAAGCGATTCTCCAACACTCCACATTTTTTAAATGTGTGAATAATCAAATTCTCAACAACAACAACAACAACAACAACAACAACAACAACAACAACAAAATGTGTCTAATCACATTTCAGATATCAGCCAGATCAGACAGACGGTGTCCCACTCGGCGTAAGTTTGGTAACCGCTGATGGTCAAACAGAAGAAGCTCCATCAAGTGAGTACGGGTCCAAACTGCTGCACATCATCAGCGAGGAGGAACACGCCCAAAAGACTGTCAGTGATTCCCTCTTGCCACAGCTGAATATCCAAGACAAGATCGACGACAATATACAGACTAAGATTATCGCCAGAGTACGGGGATCGAGGGACGACACAAGCGACACAGATTTTGTGTACAGGTAGGTAGTTGTATGTTGAGTCTTGTAACTTGTTTGTTTCATGATTTTTTTTGTGTCATGTTTTTGTGTCATGTTGGTTTGTGACATCTTTGTTGTGCAAAGTTGGTTGTGCCACGTTGGTTGTGTCATGTTGGTTGTGCCTTCTTAGTTGTGTCATGTTTGTTGTGTCATGATTATTGTGTAAAGTTTGTTGTGTCATGTTTGTGTGACGTTAACGATGCAATGACACCCCTGAGAACGTATGCACATTCAACTGATATACGTAAGAGAAAGGCTTAGAGACTACCTTCATTAATTGTCCGGGCAGAACAATATTCCAACAGTCTTACAGAAGAAAGAGAAAGCAAAAAGCTGAGAAACACCCCTAGTAATGGCGATCATTTGTTCCTGCGATGTTGCGAGCAGACAAGGAGTCAGATTACGGAGGGCAATGACTCATGAGGTAGCATTCTCTGATTACAGAAAGCAGCAAATTATCTCTGCTTAAACTCTCAACAGAACACTTTAGAACAGAAGATTATCTCACCTGTTGTTTTAATAAAACTGAAGAGCCATTGAGCCAAGGATAACAGCAAAAATATTCGTGTTTTTTTTTGAATGTATGGTCTAGTAATATTATGCTCCCAAAAAAGATTACTTGCTGTGTGTAGATTTGGTGTGTACTATTGATATTTGACGAAGATAGTATACGCCAGTAGCAGACACCCATGGTACACGCCCTTAGTACACCTAGAAAACACACACAGACAGTACACACAGACATAACACACAGACAGTACACACAGACAGCACTCTCAGACAGTACACACAGATAGTACACCCCTGTAATACACACACATAGTATACACTAATAGTACACACACAGATGTCTGTTGTTTAACCAACACTGTCTTGTTGTCTGACACAGAGACAGACGCAACACTTTCTATGGCAGCATAATGACCCTGGACAGCGACGTCGGCACGGCTATTGAGCTGATGATAGAAGATGTCACCGACAACCCTTCCGAGAAGAGCTTGGGGAGATGGCAGCAGCTCTACCGGGACGCTTCTCTGGAGTAATACTTGTCGTCGTTGTTGTTGATGTTGTTGTTGGTGTTGTTGGTGTTGTTGTTGGTGTTGTTGTTGCTGTTGTTGATGGTGTCGTTGTTGGTGTTGTTGATGTTGGTGTTGTTGTTTGCGAGTCATTCTAAACATCATGATGGTACCGAAGAGAAATTATATACACATAGTTTCTTAGGGAAGTTGCATACATATAGTTTTCGTTTAATAAACAAATAGACAATTTACTGATTGGCACTCATAGAAAGAGGTAGAAATATAGAAGGACACACTAAACAATATACAAATCCGAAGATATAGTTACTAGGCCGGGAATCGAACCTGTCAACTTCAAATGAGGTGTTCCACTCGCTATGGAATTTTTTTTATAATGTTCACATTGTTTCTCTCTCTCTCTCTCTCTCTTTCTCTCTCTCTCTCTCTCTCTCTCTCTCTCTCTCTCTCTCTCTCTCTCTCTCTCTCTCTCTCTCCGAAATGAAATACTTACGACACATTTTCCCCCAATGTTTTCCCTTCAGCTTCAGAATTGCAGGTTGCAGGATTAACAACTCAGGAATGACAGTCAAAATGTAAAAATTCCAGAAAGCTCCTTTACCACTATTACATATTTAGGTGCTTTATTTTTTTGTTACCCAAAACACGGGAAATCCAGGGAAAATCAACAGCTGACGGGACAGTGAAACCCATGTGCAATCAGAGAAACCCATGTGCAATCGGAGAAACCCATGTGCAATCGGAGAAACCCTATGTGAAATTGGAGAAATTGCCAATTAGGGCACTGTGGGGGCCTAAGAAGGGCCAGTCAAAGCAGATGTATACTGTTGGGTTCACGCACGCATTGACAATCACAACAAAGTTGCACACCAGCAACGTTGAGCCCCTCCACGCCACATAAACTCACAAATATACAATTTATGTGGGTTCCAGACTGGCGCTAATTTCTATGTAATGTTTAGTGTGTCCCTTTCTCGACCCTATTTTACACCTATTTTAGGAGACAAAAACTGTCTCACCACCTTCCTTTCCGGCAAGCTTGTTGTAAGAGCCGAACAATTAGGACTTCTTCCTCCGAATTTAGAGTGCATTTGCCTGAGAGGCAAGTAACCAACAGTCTGTATAAACCGAGTGACGTCAGAGTGCTCGCATATACAAGTTGAGAAGTGAACGAACGAACGAACGAACGAACAAACTTTATTTTTAAAGGGTTACAAATTGGGCACGCTGGCCCGTCTGACATTCGGCCTTTCTAAGCACTCATTTTTCAGAGTACCAATGCCTGTTATCAATAATGCATGTTGTGAATATAATAAAGAAATACGCATTATAGAATAATGCATACACAAATCATGTGTTCACAATCTTACACACTCACACACATGTATATATACTCTTACATTCTCATACATGTACAATCATATACAGACATTTCTAATACATACATACACGCAACTACATACATACACAAACAGAAAAGACACACACATACACATATTGACATACATGCACACACACATTCATTCCATACATACACATCTACACATGCATGCATGCATACACACACATACAATCGCATGTACAGACACCAACAATACGCCCACAACCACACTTTACACTCACAAACAGACATACATACATCAGCTCATCTCTCGCAGATAGTAGCATCAGAGGTTTTGCAACGACCCATATTCTATCCCCAGGTTGTGGAGCTTCCGTTGGGCACTTCTATCGATGTTGCCAGGAACTGTCAATGGTTACCTGGCCGGCTACATCCCCACGATCACCAAGTATCAAGGTGTCAGTCTGGACGAAGCTGCCCTACTGGTGACAATCATGGGATGTGTGGATATGGTCAGCAGAATTGGGTTTGGATTTGTTGCTGATGCTCACATTTTGACTCCATCAAAGCTGCTGGCTATTGCCTGCATTTTTCTTGGTAAGTTCCCCAACTGTTCATATTTGTTTATTTAATGTTCACAAGACTAAGTTTAGTTTAGAAGGGAATCATAGTGGTGGAGTCAATAGCAACGTTTGCCTGTTGAGCGTGTGGTTGAGTGCTTGAATCTTTTTTGAGAAGCAATCAGTAGAGAAAGAAGATTATTATGGCCCGGAGAGAATGAGGCACCTGGGTGTAACCAGAGGGTCTGGCCGGCTTAATACACTCAGAGGAAAGGCAAGACGGACTTTTTAACCAGATTGTGACTGGTACCATCAGTATTGGAACTCTGTGCTGGCTGCAGAAGATGAGGACAGAGCATGCACGGGAATGCCCTGCTTGATGTGATGTCAATTTATGACTCAACTCTTTGAGAAGTTTACTTTAAAAAAAGGGCAATAACCTGATATCGCAATGATCTGGAATTGAAATTGATAATAAGGCCAGTCGGTTATCATTGGTTGGATAGTTAGTTATTTAGTAAGGGAACTTATCCTCATTGCACATCGAAGCATTCAGTCCAATTGCTTGGAACCCCTTCTCAGTATAACATGTAGCGTGTAGCGACTGACGAAACCCGTTCAGAATTGGTTACTCCCCCCCCCCCCACCTTTTTTGTGTGGCTTCCTGCATAGTGCTCTTGTCTGGCCGAATCCCTTTTAACATGTTGTTTTTGAAGTCTGGTAATGGCTGCAGATTCACGATCATAATCTGGTTCTCGCAAACATCTCACATCTCGAAGAACGTTCAGAAAAGCTCTCGGTCTGGTCCTGGCTCGTCTGTCCCTTACAGCAGCTTAACCTGCAGGCCAGTTAGTCTGCTAATTTCATTGCACGTCTGAGTGCCCTGGTACATATATAACACTGATATTTGTCAGCCTCGACCGCCTGAGAGACTCCTACCACTGTGTCTAAACCTAGCAATTCTCTGTCTTTCTGGGCATACTCATTGAGTCAGTGAGAAAGCATGAGCAGCTAAAGTTCCCTGCCTCCAGTCATGTTATTGCTTTGGTCACTGCCATGACCTCCATAGTCAGACGACTTGTGGTGAGAGCAGCAGCATCAGACTCCCGCTTCACAATTCCAACTCCAACATGAGCCATGAAAGCTCAAGCGCTTCTCCCATGGAGAATCACAGACCCATCTCTGTAAACTATAGCATCTCCCTGTAGAGAATTCTCGAAGATCAAAGCCTTCATTTCTGCCTCCGCAGCGGCTAGACTTTCTTGCTTGCATTTTCTGTCTAGTTTGATGCAAACAGAAAAGATCATAAAGTCAGTTATGCACTGTTACTTTTATATATAAGGTGTAACAAGTATCATCACTTGTCAAATGTGCACTGAGTGAGATTTTCTTAAATAGTTTTGCTCAGGACAAAAAAATGTTTCTTCTGATATCTGCTTGATTTTTCTCAACAGTTCCCATTACAGTGCTTAATTTGGATCACTGGTGGATATGTAATGGATCTGTTGTGAATCTGTAGCAGATTTGCAGTGGGTCTGTAGTGGATCTGTAGTGGACCTGTAGTGGATCTGTAGTGGATCTGCAGTAGGTCTGTAGTTGATCTGTAGTGGATCTGTAGTAGGTCTGAAGTAGGTCTGTAGTGGATCTTTAGTAGGTCTGTAGTAGGTCTATAGTGGGTTGTAGTGGATCTGTAGTGGATCTGTAGTTGATCTGTAGTAGATCTGTAGTTGATCTGTAGTGGATCTGTAGTAGGTCTGTATTGGATCTGTAGTTGTAGTGTGTGGGGGTACGTGGATTTCCTGTCAACGAAAGATCTAATGTGAAATACGGCGTCTAATCTTTCCTTCACTGTTGTGTATCCCCACACCTTTGACTAATCGTTGCCCTGATTCTGTTTCTGTTCCTTGTGCTGGCTTTATCAACATCTGTACCATGATGCCCAAACCTAGAGTGTACACATCCCCCCCACCCCACCCCAGATCACATCTGAGTCCAAGGCCCACCTTTGAGCATTCTCTAGCTTTGTTTGCCTGGCATATACTACTGTCATCCCGAGATAATAAAGTGGAGAGTTGTATTATTATTTACAATATTATGTTATTTGTCTCACTCCAACTGACACAGGGATGAGCTCAAACAAATATCTTTCCTCTATGAAAATTCTTCTGTTTTGTTGTGTTTTTTTTTTTCTAATGTGTTTTCAACGGTCTAAATCACACCTATTTTTAATTCTGAATTAGTGATTTGTTAGTATCTGTTGTCGCCTCTCATATTTAGACTAGCAATAGACTGAATTATGGTGAACAAGTGGGAAGAGGATTTTGTTTTTAAAGCAAAGCACATCTTGCCACGCGAGAAGGCACATTTAGTTTATGGTTAGATGTTTCTTGTGTCCTCTACCATCCTGTGTATCATAGGCCCTTATAAATATGTCACCAAGAAGCCGCATCCTTTAACAGGATTTACAGCTGACTCGTGCTGCTACAATTTTGACCAGTTTCTAATTTTTTTTTCTCCTTATTTGTTGTGACTTCCCTATCTCTTTTGTCCCAGTCCAGTTCAAGGGCAAGGAAATTAAACTACAATCAAATGGTCTCCATGTCTGTCGTATCCAGCGTCACCGTCCTCCTTCCCGTACACATTGATTGACTACAACATGCTTAGTATTGTTTCTGAATAGCCTTGCAATGACTCAGTGGTTCTGTTCCTTTCCTCATGTCACGATAATGTATCGGCTTGACGTTCGCTTGCGTATTTGAAAGCTCCCAGGTTCACCCAGCCGTAAATAAATACCAGGAAAAGTCATGGAAAGGTAAGGCGGCCGACGCGATGTTGACCACATCAGCACACGTGCCAGTTAGTCTTTTAATATAGGTTTGGCACTATTGCAATGTGCTCTGCTAGGGGTTTGATTCAACTCGTCACATTGATTTAATGACGTTCTTATGTACACACATTTGCTGAGAACACACCAGACGACGAACATTCAGTTATTTATCTTTATTCGATGTTACAACAACCGCACTGTTCATGTGCTGTATGCGTTCTCCTGGTTGCTACGCATGGCTGATTCTTGATGACCTTGTCAACTATCTCACACAGGATTCTCTCTGCCATTACCTTTCGGATCATTCATCTTTATCACACTAACGTATTGTACCTGATACTTGTACACAGTCGAAACTTGCAATCAGAAGACATTCATTTCTGCTCTTGAACAAGTACACGTGGTCAGATGTTCTGCATTCTCATCAGTCGCTCTCTCGCATTCGACCGCACACATCCAGCTCCGAACTTCAACTGCCTTCCTACCCTTTCTGGGTTCACATCTTCCTTTCCAGTCTTTCGTTTTCCTGGTATCCCTCATTCACCCACCACGGGATATTCGAGACCTGCTAATCTCGATTTTCTCTTGTCTCGCTGGTCATCTGACCGTGTCCCCCCAATCAGGAACTCTCTGGGATTTACCCGAGAATTCACAACATTACCACTATGCGCTCAATATGCCTGAAGGCGTGGAAAAAGGGCTTTTGTTTTTGTAAGTCAACTATTCCGCTACGCCATAGTTTAATAAGTTTTATAGTTTACCACATGCGTTCTTACAGTCGTTCCATGTATTTTACTGAATGCAACACTGATCTTTTAATAATGTAGCTCATTATTCCCATTTCGCTACTAGATTTCATTTTTGTTGACTTCCTACAAAGTCTTTGATGTCTTGCAGGTGTTATCTGCCACCTGTTCGGGTTCGCCACCTCGTTCGTGACGTTAGTCCCTGTCATCGTTGTCATTGGATTGTTCATTGGTGCCCGTGGACCCATGGGCTCGTTGATCTGCATCGAGGTGGTCGGGGCCAGGAATATGCCTGCAGCTTTCAGCATCATGTCTACGTTGAATACATTAGTTGGACCCACAGCCAACCCTATCTTTGGTTAGCTGTGTGTGTGTTTTTTTACAATGTGTAATTGGGCGAGTTATTTTATGTACGATTGTAGGAGATGTCGGCGTGGAACCCTTCTAAGATATAAAGCAATTTGGACATGAATGATACAGCTATTGAGGTTGATTTTGGGCACAAAATGCTGTGGACTGCGTGAGATGGAGGATACAAATTAGAAAGGAAATATAAAAACATGAGAATAAGTTTGCAGAAAAGCTAGGTGCCGAGTGTAGACGAAGAAGATGGTTAAATACATGAAAAAACAACAATAGTTCTCAAGTTGCGTGGACTAATTGTGGAAGACTTTTCCTGACAAGACAGGGTCTTGGATGTCACGCTGCACTCACTTTAGGCTGAGATTTCCATGCCTGTATTTAGCACAGTATCGTCTGTAAACTCTTGCTAGTCACAGTAGCAACTGTCATGGGCTGAAATTCTCATGCCTGTCTATAGCACACTATTGTCTGTAAACTCTTGCTAGTCACACCCACAACCGTCATGGGCTGAAATTCTCATGCCTGTCTATAGCACAGTATTCTCTGTAAACTCTTGCTAGTCACACCCACAACCGTCATGGGCTGAAATTCTCATGCCTGTCTATAGCACACTATTGTCTGTAAACTCTTGCTAGTCACACTCACAACCGTCATGGGCTGAGATTATCATGCCTTTATATAGCACAGTATCGTCTGTAAAGTCTTGCTAGTCACACTTACAACCGTCATGGGCTGAGACTCTCAGGTCTGGACAGACAGGTAGATGCCATCTAATATTACACCAAATTAATTATAAGTTGTTATATAAAATAAACAGACATTGTATTGATTGGCACTCATCTAAAGAAGTAGAAAGAAATATTCGACTCGCTTTCGATTTATAGGTTGCCTAGTACGTCCTTCTACCTTTGTAGTTGTATCTATGAATGCCAATCGATACAGTATATGTCCGTTTATTATATATAATGTTTATACTGTGTGGATGTCAGTTCTATCAGAAGACATGCAAGGGCTGTAATAGACGACAATCCAGCCATGACGGATCTGCGTGTTCAAACTGGCAGCCCACGACCAATGGGAGGAGTGGATGGACAGCACGAAGCTCGCTCTGATGAACTGATTCGTGACTGTCGCGGCATCAAACATAATGATGTCACCATATCTAGGGATTTCGAATCAAATTGTTCATGTCATGTTTGTGTGCAGGACAGTTCTGCAGCGTGAACACTCTCGTCGACACACGTGTAGTCGCAGCATTGCGATGTGCGATCCTAGTTGGGTTCTCAACTTTAAGAACATTTTGGCGCATTAAACACACAGTCCCGATGTGGTACCTTGTGACTCGTTCCTGTTCCCAAAGCTCAAGGAGTATCTCAAAGGAAACAAAAATGCTCATGACCAGGATGTTGCAGAGGAGGTGCGTTCCAGGTTTCGTGACAAGTTGTCCTTTATTCGTATCAATGTCTTGACTGGATGCGACAACTTGTTTGACATTGTCTTGTGTTGTTTGGAAAGTAACACTGATTGCATTGCCATATTATGACACCGGACCTAATTGAATTCTTCTTCTTTAGCATTCCGAGCCCTTGAGGTTCATTGCTACATATATCACCCGCCTCTATTCATCTCTCTGGTTGGCCTTCTTCAGCATTCCGAGCCCTTGAGGTTCATTGCTACAGATATCACCCGCCTCCATTCATCTCTCTGGTTGGCCTTCTCTTTTCAGTTGGTAACACCAAGTGTTTGCAGGTCTGTCTGGATATTATCTCTCCATCGTCTTCTTGGTCTCGCTCGTGGTCTACGACCATTCATCTCTCTGGTGTACACTGTTTTTACTTCTCTGTCATCTGACATTCTTTCAATATACGCCAACCATTTCAGTCTATAAGCTCTTATGATGCAAGTGACCAGTGGTGATTTCAACATATTATGAATTTCTTTGTTGATTCTCACTCTCCATTCCCCGCTGTCTGCATCATTAATGGGTCCAGAGATTAGTCGTTAGACTGTTTTCGAAAACCTGTAAAAAGGCTTCATCTCTTTTAGCTGTGCTCCAAGTTTGAGGTTAAGGTTTGAAGCGTGGGGCCGACACTCCTACCTTCGCGTAAAACGTTATCTCGTCACGAAACAGACTTAACTAGATGCTTCTGGAAAATGTATGCTTTATTTGGTAAACTATGTATATAACAAAGCTATATCCTTGGAAGCATAACTTTTCATATCGCCCTCGTACATTTCAGGAAAACTGGCTGAGGTGACCGGTTCCTTTGTGATTGTGATGCACGTGATTGGTGCCGGCTACTTCACGTGTGCCGGCTGTCTGTTACTGCTGCCCTTGTTTGTACGGCTGGATGCCAAGCATGGCCGACAGAAATGATCGACACTGGTTGAAGCACAAGTTGTCAGTAGTCGAAATAGTAGCAATAAAAGTAGTGTGGCAGTAGTAATAGTAGTAGTTAGCGACAGCAGCAGTAGTAGTAATGGTAGTAGCAATAACAGTAGTGTGGCAGTAGTTAGCGAAAGTAGTAGTAATTAGCTATAGTAGTAGTTAGCGACAGCAGCAGTAGTAGTAATGGTAGTACTAATAGTAGTAGTTAGCGACAGCAGCAGTAGTAGTAATGGTAGTAGTGATAGTAATAGTTAGCGACAGCAGTAGTAGTAGTAATGGTAGTAGTAATAGTAGTAGTTGTGGTACTGATAGTAGAGTAGTAGTGTCAGTAGTGGTATAAATAATACTAAATTGTGTATTGATTTGTATTTTTAACACTATTAGGTGCATATCGGCCACACCATAAACTGCCATTGATAATTAAATAGCAACTGCAGTCACATCAGGTCAACATCAAACTGTATCCAACAAACATATCAATTCACTTTCTTTAAAGCTGGCTGTCTTCACCATGGCCTCAACAACACACAGGAATAACAACGTATTTACATAAGGTGTTAACGGGTTTTTAATTACAAAAATGTTGTATGTACTTTCTGAGTAAATGTCTTAGTCTTCAGTCGAAGTTTGCACGTCACTTTAATCGGGTTTCCCCACACTTGCTGCCTTCCTGTACCAGTGGCATATTAACTGAATGTCCCTCACTGTCGCATTTGAAAAACTGGTCAACAAACAATTAGTAATTAATCCCGGAACAATCCAGAAATATGTGCACACAGGTTACTGTGTGCCTCTTACACTTTGACTTAGAGATCAGTGGACGCTTTTCTCAACCCTAGACTTGAATGGGTGAGAATTCCCCGGATGAGTATACTGGAACAGTGTGCCTCACCATTTAATATCCTGAACAATTGCAGTGGATAAATTACCATTTAATAAGTTACTATCTAAACCATCGCCATCCATATTACCATCGCCACCATTGTTATCATCATCAGCATCACCAATCATCATCGCCTTCATCATCATCATCATTCATCATGGTGATCAAGATAAATCATTACCATCCTCATCGTTTATGAGCTTTATGGCAGAACGCTGCCCGCATCTCTCTGACTGATAGAAAGCCAACAAATCACCCCTGTCACTCCACCGTATCTTCTCACAGTCCAGGCTGTATGATACTGGTGCCAGTGTTCGTCACCAGCCTGCTACCTCGTATAATATCAACTTTTTTTTGATGCCGTAATGCTCAGTTTTCGCGTCACATAATGTTCTTGAAGAACTATTCTTATGTAAGTCGCTTTTGAACATTTCAGCATTTAATACATCGCGTGTTCCAAAAACTAGTTTCCTTGTACTTTCATAACTTGTAGAATGTATTTATTTGTCAGTTTTTTTTTTTTTAATCGACAGTATTGTCAAAATATTTGATACATTTAAGTTTAACTATTAGAAATAGAAGTCCAGTCACAGAAATGACTGGCGGTGGGTGATTTGTGCAGCAATGAACCTCAAGTGCTCAGAATGCTGAAGAAGTTCAACAGTCTTCGGCTGCCTTCTTTAACGACTGAGAAATTTCACAATTTGGGCTTTTAACCCATGGAAACAGGTTAACGTGTGCATTGTTACCAGTAAAGAATATTCCAGTTTGCTTTGTGTAGTTCGTCCTAACAGCGATTATGTTTGAATGCACTGTGTACCTGGCCACGTCCAGCTGCCTGTACAGTTGATGACGGGGGCGCTGCAGAACTAGTCACGGTGGATATGGCCTGCGTTGGGAGGCAGTAGTGCGACCCTCTGACCATCTCGGCTCTCAGTGCCTGCTGGGCGCCCAATAGAGCAGGGAACTGTCTGTACACGGCAGGAAGTGCCGACTCTGTAGACTGTAAACAGACAGATAGACAGACAGTTCTGAGTTATGTTGAATCAAAATTATACTAGGGAACTGGTGAACTTGATGATAATGACTAGTACAGTGGAGGGCAATCTATCTATCTGTCTGTCTAGGTGACAAAATGTTCAAGCCGTTTGCCTCGCGCTATGAGCCTCGTGGTTTCCTTTCACGGCCACATCTTGCGGCTCATAGGTGCGGTTTATAAGGAAATCCATTGGGATCCTCACCAGAGCCACAGAGTCTGTGCTTTGTGCTGTACTCTCGATGTTCTATAAAGGAGGTGACTGAACTACAAGGCAATTATGTGGATCATCTCGATATTATATTAACTTTAACTTTTATCTATCTATCTATCTATCTATCTATCTATCTATCTATCTATCTATCTATCTATCTATCTATCTATCTATCTATCTATCTATCTATCTATCTATCTATCTATCTATCTATCTATCTATCTATCTATCTATCTATCTATCTATCTATCTATCTATCTATCTATCTATCTATCTATCTATCTATCTATCTATCTATCTATCTATCTATCTATCTATCTATCTATCTATCTATCTATCTATCTATCTATCTATCTATCTATCTATCTATCTATCTATCTATCTATCTATCTATCTATCTATCTATCTATCTATCTATCTATCTATCTATCTATCTATCTATCTATCTATCTATCTATCTATCTATCTATTTATCTATCTATCTATCTATTTATCTATCTATCTATCTATCTATCTATCTATCTATCTATCTATCTATCTATCTATCTATCTATCTATCTATCTATCTATCTATCTATCTATCTATCTATCTATCTATCTGTCTATCTATCTATCTATCTATCTATCTATCTATCTATCTATCTATCTATCTATCTATCTATCTGTCTATCTATCTATCTATCTATCTATCTATCTATCTATCTATCTATCTATCTATCTATCTATCTATCTATCTATCTATCTATCTATCTATCTATCTATCTATCTATCTATCTATCTATCTATCTATCTATTTGTCTGTCTGTCTATTTGTCAGTCTGCCTGTCTGTCTGCCTATTTTTCAGTCTACCTGTCTGTCTGTCGGTCCGTCTATCAGTCTTTTTTTGGGTTCGTGTGTCGATCTGTCTATCTAGCTATATGTCTGTTTGTCTCTTGGACGGTCTGCCGGTCTGTCTGTCCGTCTGTCAATTCATCTTTGTCTCTTTAAATGTCTGTCAAGTTAAGTACAGAAACCGCTAGACAACTCACAAAACTGCGATAGGCCTGCCATTGGAAAGGACAAGTGACTGAACATGGCGATGAGATGTTGAGACTTTGAAACGGTTTCTCCCGCTTTCTCCACTTGGCTCGTCGGTTTTGGAACCACACCTGATATAGATAACATAGGAAATTAATTATCAGTAAACACAGCTGACAGAGACAACATGGGAAATTAATTAACAGTAAACACAGCTGATAGAGATAACATGGGAAATTAGTTAACAGTAAAAACAGCTGATAGAGATAACATGGGAAATTAATTAACAGTAAACGCAGCTGATAGAGATAACATAGGAAATTAATTATCAGTAAACATACCTGATAGAGATAACATAGGCAATTAATTATCAGTAAACACACCTAACAGAGATAACATAGGAAATTAATTATCAGTAAACACACCTGATAGAGATAACATTGGAAATTAAATATCAGTAAACACACCTGATAGAGACAACAGAGGAAATTAATTAACAGTAAATGCAGCTGTTAGAGATAACATGGGAAATTAATTAACAGTAAACACAGCTGATAGAGATAACATAGGAAATTAATTAACAGTAAACACAGCTGATAGAGATAACATAGGAAATTAATTAACAGTAAACACAGATGATAGAGATAACATGGGAAATTAATTAACAGTAAACGCAGCTGATAGAGATAACGTAGGAAATTAATTATCAGTAAACACACCTGATAGAGATAACATAGGCAATTAATTATCAATAAAACACACCTGATAGAGATATCATAGGAAAGTAATTATCAGTAAACACACCTGATAGAGATAACATGAGAAATTAATTAACAGTAAACACAGCTGATAGAGATAACATTGGAAATGTGTTAGCAGTAACGATACCTGAAGGAGATTAAATGGGAAATGTGTTAGCAATGGTCGACCCAGCCTTGAGTGGGTACCGGGTGCAATCCCGGGAAGTAGAGGCGGCCGGCGTGATGCTGACCACATCACCCATCTTGTGCCGTTGGTCTATAAAAATATAGGTCTAGCCCTATATGCCCTATACGCCTAAAGGCGTGGAAAGGGTCCTTTACTTTTACTTTTACTTAGCAATGGTCCAAGACCGGATTGAATAGTCCCTAGCTGAAGTTGCCGGGACATATAACTAGTGAGATCTTTTCTCTTCTAATTACCTAGAAGATTCTGTCACCCGTTGTCCCGTGGCCACCTCGTTCTGTTTACTGTGTGGAGTATTGGCATTGTGTTTTTAACATTTTCTTTTCATCATCATCATCATAAACCACTTCTGCTGTTAAGCGCCATGGGGAGGAATAATTTGCGATTCAGTGCACGTTGGCTGCGTCTGGCTATTGTCATGCCGTGAAGGCGTAGTATCTCTAGCTAAAAAAAGATATAATAATACTGCGAATTCAGGTGAGAATTATAATGGTTGGGAGTAGCTGGGATCCCATATAAACCCTAGCTGTATCCTGAAATACTTTAACGGGATCCTACTAGTCTTTGAGTCTCTATCTGAGTATTCCGTGACTTCATCAACCTTGATACTTGACTGTTGGACCAAAGTAACTATTTACTAGTCCCTACATATTACGACGTTCCTTAGGTTACTATTCACGGTTAGGTCAATTCATTAGTGAACCCTCTATCACCTTGTCATCTTTTCTGAAAATATTCATTTGGTTTCCTTACATAAGGAGCTTATGGTATAAACCATCATCCAGTGCCATGCGGTGCCATCAAGTGTTTATACCCTACATTGTGTATATTTAAAATATTATGAAACATAAAAACTGAGTAAAAGGGGGAGACCTTTAGTCACTCCGTCAGCTGTGTGGACATATGGGACTGGACATGTGTTTTATAGACCTAGTGGCACCTTCTTTGAGTCAGAAGTAGAACAGAGCACTAATGGGTTACTACCCTTGTGCCATGATGTTGATCCGATGTTTAAACCGAGCTCTCCGAATCCCAGCATGAGTGAGCCCAAACTGAGATGACCCTGACATAACTCATGTAAAGATCATACAGGTGTACCTGAATGCGAGACTCCGGCAGTTTGACCTTACTGGCCAGTTTCTCCCGTGTGAAGATGTCTGGATAGTGTGTCTTTCTGAACGTCCTCTCCAACTCCTGGAGACAGAGAGCAGGGCATATCGTGTTAGTCACCACCTGGTGACCACCACATCTTTTGTGCCTACCAATGTTCTAAATAGCGCCACTTTCAAAGGCATCGACATATCATCATGCACACAAATGAGCAGCCGATAAATGCGCTGTTTATACCATTATTGTACTGTCATTGCCAGACATGGACAGTCCTAGAAAAACGTAAACGCCAAATGACAACATGTGACAATAGATGTATCAGGAGTGAGGCAGGAAAAAACTAAGAAGGGACAAGTGTCCCCTATGAAGTAATGGAAACAATAGTAAGCACAGTAAGGGTGGATGATTTCATACAACATCAAAGAATCAAAATGGTTTGGTCATCTGTCAGAATAGAACAAAACCAGACAGCAGCTGGAGCGTACTAAAAGAGAACGGTAAGGTACAAAGAGATGGGTGGAGGGTGTAAAAGGGGCCTACAGCAAAGCTATATAATACTAACAAAAGCTAGAAAACTAGCAACAGAGAAAAATCTACACATAACATTTTTCTGTATGCTTTAAGGCATAAGCAGTGGAGTACAAGAAGAAGAATATTTCAGTATCTGAGTACATTGTTAACGTCACATGGGTAATGTATCAGTTAAATTCACATTCGTTAAGGACAAACAAAATAATCATTTTGTAACAATGTAACAACCTATCAAATGTGACTTCGTAGTGAACGTTAGAAAATAAATGATTTTTTTGTTTTCCTTTAAATTCGTACTCATATATGAATGTGATTATGAACACGTAATTAAATACACACACTCGCGCGTGCGCGCGCACACACACACGCACAGGAAGTCATTAACATGGTATTACATAAGTCCCTTTACTCTAACAGTGTTTAGATAACTGCGTACCGCGTCATGATTTGATTTGATTTGAGTTGATTCAAGAACCGACATCACAGCACTCGTGGCATTCCCATAAGCGCTCCGTACCGATCTTCAGCAGCGAGCAAAGAGTTCCGATACTAATGGTGTCAGTAGTACCGTGTTATGAGAGCTGTGAAGTTTACACAGTCACTGTGTATACACATATGGAACACCGTGTACTTGTGACGATTCAATGCTGAAGTCTTGCTGTCCAGTATTTTTGTTTGCATTGGTCAATATAGGTTTATTTGACAGGAGCTAGGATTATACCCCCCCCCCCCCCCCCCCCCCCCCCCCCCCCCCCCCCCCCCCCCCCCCCCCCCCCCCCCCCCCCCCCCCCCGCAATTACTACTACCAAAAGCTAGCTGCTACTGTCCTAAAAAGGTAGTCAGTATGTCAAGCGCTTTTATGAGAAGATGATAAATGGAATGAAGGAACAAAGGAACGACCTTTATTTCCAAAATGTTGAAAATTGCAACAACAAAAAATAGAATTACCTATGTACAGAGAGAGAGAAAGAGAGAAGAGCGAGAGAGAGAGAGAGAGAGAGAGAGAGAGAGAGAGGGAGAGAGAGAGAGAGAAAGAAAGAGAGAGGGACAAACAGATGACATTAATTGTCAACCCAGTGCCCACAGGGAGTCGCCGTGGCGTTTGCGGCTAGACGCCAGCCTGCAGAGCTGAAGGTTGTGGGTTCGCGTCTTGATGGAGTCATACTTTTTTTTTCCACAAATGACCTTGACTCCAAGGTCGACCCAACTTTGAGTGAGTACCAGGTGCAGTTCTGTGAAGTAAAGGCAGCCAGAGTGATACTGACCACATCACCCACCAAGTGCCAGTTGCTCTGTTTATAAAAAAAGGTTTTAGCCCTATTTTCCCAATACGCCTAAAGACGTGGAAAAAGGACCTTTTACTTGACATTACCCACAGATGAATACAAAGTGGAGTCTTCAGAAGCATTACTTCGCGGCTATGTTTGGTAATTTAAAAAGTAGAACAAGAAAATATCTCACGTGTAGCTGTCGTGTGGAGAATGTTGTCCTATTTCGTTTACTTTTCGTATTAATACCTAGGTCATGCGACTCTGACAGATCACGGAATAAAGCGTCAGGGGGTGATTCACTTTCTGATCCAATGACATGACTGTATGGGTAGACTTTCACAACATCATCGTGGTGACGCCCATCTGGCAAATACACAAATATATAGAATTCAGTTGCTTTACTTACTTTACTTAGTCGCTCCTCTTCTATTTTGGGGTGTAGAGGTTGGCCAGAGAGATCGCCAGACGTCTCTGTCAGCAGTTTTATTTCTGGCATTGTTCTATTTCAGTCCTCTGTCAGTTAGGGACTGTCGGATGTTGTCTTTCTTACCACCCCCCCCCCCCCCCATGGTGGCCGACTTTCTTCTATTATGTATACATGTACAGACCATCGTAACTGTGACTTGTCCACTTGAGTTTGTAAGGACTGGGTATCAAGATCTTGACGTATTGTCTGATTGCGGACTTTGTCCCTTCTTGCCACTTGGACCACCTTTCTAAAATAGCTCATTTCTGAAGCCTGAAGCTGACTTTTGTGAGCTGTGAGCTCTTGGTGTGCAGCAGCATATCAGCTTGTTAAATGACTTAGTTCTAAACAACGGACTGTGTGATCTGACGTTTGCCTAAACATACACCAGCAATATGACCAAATATTTTAACACTCCATATTTTGGATACAAACGCGCCTGACACGCACCTGCATCGTATTTCTTTGGATCGTGTCTGCTGTTTGCATTGTCTGTATCCCATGAAATACTCTGAGGTAATGAGAAGCAGTTATGTCAAACCGAGGAAGACATTCCATAAACTTTACTGCAGCATATCTAGATCATGCAGCAAGTGATGGTTCATTCTTTGCCACAGGATGCCTTCCACTGCATATTTGACGTAAACACACGTGCTCCAATCTTAATATCTGTGCAATGAGGGGCATTTCCACATGGGGTTTCCAGTGACATGATAAGGTTAAATATAGGTTGAGAGACAATTGCGTGAGAGCACGAATACCCCCAGAAGCACGATTTGTTGGAAGAGTGCTCAGGTGGCCACACAAGGGACTGAGAACGAGTTTGAAAGATGGGACGATGTTCTGAACCAGTGTGCGATTCGCAGTCAGAGTGAGAGGTTGTGTTTTGTGAGAGCATGAATACGACATTGTATAATTGAACAAGGTGGAGGAGATTGAATTCTACAAGATATCCACATAGCCAGAATCCAGTCAAGTTGACGACTAGCCTGATGGTGAAGCTAAACACCCAGTGGCCGGAGATGCTTGTTTGAGACCTGTAATGTTGCGCGATTAGGACATAAAGATTGCAAAAGTAACGAATGTGAATGATTAAACAGGGCGAAGAGCTTTGTCATTGTTACATCATAATATTTGGACATGCTAGAGAGTAGCTGCAATAACTGGAGCGGATTGTCTTCTGTGAGTAATAACGATTTAAACTGTGGTTGTGTCCCCTCAATAACATCTGACTGTGTCGATTCAGTACATGTTCCAGCCATAGTACAGTCTCCTAGGAAACAACCAGAGCACACCGAGAGAACAAACTCGCAATCTGCAAGTTTTTCATGATCATTATCAGTTGTCGTTATGCCTAGTGGCACATGAGGCTTCAGAGAGGACTTTCCATGCTATTCTGTCCTGTGCAATCTTCAGTGCAGTTTTCCATGTCAAAGATGCCACACTCGGGTCACTTTCCATTGTTCGTCTCCCTGTTGTTTTTGGGCGTCCCTTTTTTCTCTTTCCCTCTGGTATCCATGTGAGAGCTGTTTTGGCAGGTATATCAGGATTCATTCTCATAACGTGGCCAAGCCATTTCTCTTGGTTATCATTGTCTAGAGTTTCTTGGTTTGTGACTTGAAGTAATTTATTGTTTGCGATTGTATCTGGCCAAAAACTTTGATAATTCTATGTAGACATGTGTGGTGGAAGGTGGACAGCTTGTGTACATCCTTTTCGGTCATTCTCCAGCATTCTGCTCCATAAAGAAGAACTGGCAAAATGATGCGCTTGTAGAGTCGGAGATTTGTTCCTCTGCAGTAACTGTTGGATTTTCAGATTTGCCTCATCCTTTCAAAAGCAGCTCTAGCTTTGTTCAGGCATGACTGTATGTCTTCCTCTGTCCCTCCTAGTAGGGACACCATACTGCCAAGATATGTGAAATGTTCTACATTTTCAAGAGTTTGGTTATTTATGGTCACTGGTTGTTGGTTTGGACTGTTTGTCATGATCTTAGTTTTCTTTGTATTTTTTATCAGTCCCACCATTTCTGCCGTGCTGTGTAGTCTGTTACTTTTCTTGTGTATATGTTCATGTTTATGTTTCTTCTTCAAGTTGTCGAAACTCGTTCTATTGTGGGTGATGCAGAGACTACGAGCTACTTTGATGTTACAATTTTAAAAGAGCGAAAATAAAATGATGAAATGGTTTGCCCACTTAGAGAGAATGCCTTGTGAAACCATACCATACAAAGCATATATGGAAAGAGAAGAAGGACGTAGAGCACGAGGTAGACCAAGAACAAGATGGAAGGATAACATCAGGGAAACTCTATAACAGCACGATGTGCCTATGGTCGAGGAGGCCAGAAGAGCTAGAGACAGAACCTTATATCTCCCTCGACACCCACAGCGGTAAAAGAGGAAGTAAAGAAGAAGAAGAAGAAGGAGAAGAAGAAGAAGAAGAAGAAGAAGAAGAAGAAGAAGAAGAAGAAGAAGAAGAAGAAGAAGAAGAAGAAGAAGAAGAAGAAGAAGAAGAAGAAGAAGAAGAAGAAGAAGAAGAAGAAACAAAAAAGATATGATCGACCTGCTGTGAACAGCCTTGGTTATAACTGTAGCCTTTTTTATGTCGCCATGCTCCGATAGGTATACATACATCACTTCCGAGCAGTGCTGCCGAAATTGGTACTTTGGTACAACTTTTATACTATTGAGCCATTGCTGACCAAAACTGTACTTTCGGTACCACGACTGATATTTGTGACTCATTTTATAAACTGCATCAAAACAGTAAATTTGACATTGCACGCTGGATCTAATAAGTGTAAGCCAAAGAAGACCGGCGCCAGTTATTCCATTGGTCATTACATGTACCAGCTTTGTTTCAGAAGAACATTATTTCGAAAAAAGAAAACAACAACAACAACCAAAGGGATGGAGGGAACTAACATTGTAAGGTCAACCAGCTAATGATTAACAAAACAAAAAAAAAAAAAAAAAGTAGAATCACTTTGGTTTTAAATTTCAGAAGAAAAAAATCTGATGAGGAAAATCGGCTTCCATTAGTATCACAATACATGCTTAGTCTTTTGGCATGATCTCATTGCCCTGCAGCTTGAGAAAAGGCTTTCTTTCTGGTTAACACCATTTAGATACAGATTCACATTTCTTTGAAGACTTTAACAATAAACGTATTGATGAGATCGAAGTGATTGCTTCTGGACATTATCTACACCACCTTGGTGCCACAACAACTTTTTAATCAACTGAGCGAGACAAAAGAAAATGCTGCACCTGTGATATAATGGGCACATAATTTCAATTCCTATCAAATATAAGCAAGCCAATTATATATGTATATATATGTACATAAACATGCACATACACAAAATTAAAAGAGGTTTTGAACTTTTTCCTAATTTCCGCAGTGGGCGATTTGACAGCAGACAGCCTTGCGTTTATTATTACAGCTGTATGGAGGGCCGACAGTTTACAAGCAATGGCAAACTACTCTGTGCAAAATTGCTTAGTGACTTTGCGTATAGCCAAAGCATTATATTGTGACTTCTGCAGCGTCCTGTCAAGGATGCGTAATTAAACTTGCATTAAAAATAATGTGTATGAACACTTAAACATCGGTGTTTTTTCATTAACTGAACGTGAAGTCTGGTTACCTGTGCATTCGGAGGCGGATGTTGTAGTTGGCAAGTCAAGCAGTGAAGATATGGAGAACTTTAATCTGACCTTCTCAACTTTAGAGGTATCAGACTTCGTGTTGTTGTGTGTGGCTTGTACATCCTCTTTTGCTGAGCTGTGGTTGTCTGCTACCTCGAGTATGGCATTGTCGTCTTTAACAAGATGGTTGAATTATTGTTAGGTAATATTAACATCAATAACATCATTAAAAATTCAGCTGGTGTGTCAATGTTTCATATACATACAGCCTGCGTGTCAGTATGTCACGTTTCTACAGCCGATATGTCTGTTTCATATACATACAGCCGGCGTGTCAATGTGTCACGTTTCTACAGCCGATATGTCAATGTTTCATATACATATAGCCGGCGTGTCAGTGTCTCACACGTCTACAGCCGATATGTCAGTGTCTCACACATCTACAACCAGTGTATCAGTGTCTCACACACCTACAACCGGTGTGTCAGTGTCTCACACATCTACAACCGATGTGTCAGTGTCTCACACATCTATAACCGATGTGTCAGTGTCTCACACGTCTACAACCGATGTGTCAGTGTCTCACACGTCTACAACCGGTGTGTCAGTGTCTCCCACCACACAGTTGTGTCAGTTGTCTCACACGTCTAACCGATGTGTCAGTGTCTCACACATCTATAACCGATGTGTCAGTGTCTCACACGTCTACAACCGGTGTGTCAGTGTCTCACACATCTACAACCGGTGTGTCAGTGTCTCACACATCTATAACCGATGTGTCAGTGTCTCACACATCTTCAACCGGTGTGTCAGTGTCTCACACACCTACAACCGATGTGTCAGTGTCTCACACATCTATAACCGATGTGTCATTGTCTCACACATCTACAACCGGTGTGTCAGTGTCTCACACACCTACAACCGATGTGTCAGTGTCTCACACATCTATAACCGATGTGTCATTGTCTCACACGTCTACAACCGATGTGTCAGTGTCTCACACGTCTACAACCGATGTGTCAATGTCTCACACGTCTACAGCCGATGTGTCAGTGTCTCACACATCTATAACCGATGTGTCATTGTCTCACACGTCTACAACCGGTGTGTCAGTGTCTCACACATCTACAACCAGTGTCTCAGTGTCTCACACACCTACAACCCGTGTGTCAGTGTTTCACACATCTACAACCCGTGTGTCAGTGTTTCACACATCTACAACTGGT